CGGTTGTCGATGCCGAAAACAAGAATATTTGGCATGCATTGGCAATCGAATGTAGTGGTGTTTTTTGCGAAAAATGGTTCGATTTCGACTAGATCTCGAGCAGATTTGCTGGCAAATGGCTCAAAGGATGAGTGACATTTGCATTTGGTGTGTCACCGTCACCAACCATTCGACCATCGATTTATATTTGGTTTGATCAGAAAGGTATGTTTGCTGGATTTTAAACCTGTAAGGACTGATGATAATTGCTCAAGGGTGTGTTTGCTGGATTTGAAACCTGTAGTGACTAATGGAATTTCTCATGGGTGTGTTTGCTGGATTTCAAAACTCTGGACATGCTAATGTCATTGATCCGACTCGTCAATCAGACTAGTTCAGCCGGTTGAGTCTAGACCCAACCACTTTGACAGGTTTCACTCAAGATTGATTATTAAATCATTGCTTTATTTAATCCTTCTAGTTAAGTTTAGCTTTATGGTGACTAATTGCTAATTTAACATGTATTTATATATATATTTTTAGATAAGTTTCAATTTGTTATACACTAAGTAATTACGCAAAATGTGTGTTTCCAAAATTGTTATGAAACTATTAATTAAGTTGGTCAAAAGGAATTGGAATTTAGTACCATATAATTTATTTAATATTTGTAGCTAGCCATTATATATGGCGATTATAATAGCTAGCTTAACATATATTCATACGTATTTAAATATATATTTCTTTATTTTGCTAAATAAAAACTAGTTACCTCTGTTTTGAAACCCGACATGGCTAGTTTAACTGGTCAAACAGAGACCCAGGGCCTTCTTTGGGTCGAGTTACCACTTTCAATTGTTCCCAAAATCTCTAACTTGATTGTTGATGAACAAGGGACTACCAAGTGTCGGGTTAGAGGGGTTTTGTAAAGTGGAGGCCGATGGTTTAGGTGGTGGTGTCGGATTGAATTTTGGGCGCCGCAATGAGCCAAAATTTGGCCAAAAAAAATCAACCCAATACACTAGTCACCGCCAGCAAACGGAGAGCTACTGTAAAACCCTCATCCAGTCAGGTATCCTCTGAATATCCCTTAATGAGAATCCTAGAGATACATGTCTAGAGAACGAATTGTATTTAGAAAAACCTTGTGTAAGGATAATAATAATAATAATATCCAAAACATTCATATAAGATGTCACGTGGGATCCAAACTCATAATTTCAAAAACTTTAAGAATTTATAAGTTGGATCCTATATGACATCTTATATGAATATTTTGGATATTATTATTATTATCCTTACACATGGTTTTCTAAATACAACTCGTTCTCTAGACATGTATCCCTATGATTCTCATAAAGGGATATTCAGAGGATACCTGACTGGAGGGGGGTTTTACATTTGGTATCAAAGCAAGTATTTTGTTATTTTAAAAATGGGTGTTTTAAGATGTTTTCTATTATGGAGTCATGCATTTATGAGAGTTGATGACAGTATCCCTCATGTAAAGTTCCGCTACTCTAGTTGTCCAATTGTTGTAAGTATGTTCACCTGATTTTATGTAAGGATTGATTTAGATGATTAACATTATATGTGTGACTGTGATAGAGAATAAATATGAGGTAAACAAGGAGAATGGATCCAAGTCACTGTGATACTTCGAATGCACAAGATGTTCCAATTGCACCTGAAGCTTCTAACCCAACAGCTACTACTTCAAGCACTCCATGTTTAGATGTTACAAAATTGGAGTGTATGATCCAAGAGGCTGTTAGTAGAGCTTTAAGGAGAACTTTGTCGGAAAGTACGAATACTCTGGTGACAACAGTGATGACCAATGTGGTACCAAGTCAAGCAATAGGGATGAGTACCCTAGAAGCAATGGTTCCTCCAAAGCAGATTAAACCGATTTACGGCCTCTTAAGTAAACATTAGCCTCCAGAATTTAGCGGCACTAATGATCCAGTAGTAGCAGAATAATGGATCAAGTTGGTAGAGAAAGCTACTGCTCTATTTCCTATGGCAGATCAAGAGAAGATCCGGTATGCTACATACCTATTGAGAGGACATGCTATGACATGGTGGGAGCTTATGGAGCAGACTCAAGATACCACCACTCTCACTTGGTCAGGGTTTAAGGATTGTTTGAGGAGCAGAACCGGATGACATACATGATATCTTCTAAACTACAATAGTTTATTAGTCTACAACAAGGAAATATGACGGTCAAAGAGTATTCAATCAAGTTCAACTCTTTGGCTAAGTTTGCACCCACACTGGTCAGTACACCATAGACCCGATTGAAGAGATTTGTGGGTGGACTTCATCCCACTATCGCTAGAGATGTTATGTTGGGTCATCAGCCTTCCCAAATGTATAGTGAAGCACTCACCAAAGCCACCAGAGTAAAGGTGTACTTAAGGAAGGAGACCATATTAGCTCTTCCCCCAATAGTAGCAAGTAGTCCTCTCCAGACTGGCCAGTCCAGTAGTGCAAAACAAGTTGTTGGCAAGGACGATAAGGGTAAAGGCAAGAAAGGAGTCCCACCTAAAGCCAACAGGAAGGACATGAAGAAAAAGGGCCAGCAGAGGAAAGGTAAGATCATTTACTGTAAGAAATGTCAGAGGAGACATAAGGGTGAATGTCTAGTGGGGACCAATGTTTATTTCAGATGTCGCCAGCCAGGTCATATTGCTAGAGATTATCCCATTGGTTCTGCAACTTCAGTACCAGCAGTTGGAGGCACGACAACCAAGGTATATAATGTGGCCCAGATGCAGGTAGATGCTAGCCCTTCAACAGTCACTGGTAAGTTATTATTCCATGATACTCCCTTGTATGCCTTGATTGATTATGGTGCTACACATTCCTTCATCTCCTATGGTATGATTAAGAGATTAGGGTTAATGCCTATTAGAGTAGAACAAGCTATTTGGATTGAATTGCTTGATGGTGAGGGTGTGGTGACCAATGAAGTCTTAATGGGGGAGTTAGTGACTATTAGAGGCCGAGATATGATGGTAGATTTGATTGTCTTCAATATGCCAGACTTTGACATTATTCTCGGGATGGACTTTCTTAGTAGATATGGAGCAGAGATAGACTGTCGTAGGAAAAAAGTCAAGTTTAATCTAGACCATGGGGATAACTTCATTTTTGGAGACCCAACTAGCATGATGATTAGTGTAGCAAAAGCTAGGAAGATGTTGAAAAATGGGTGTTCTCGGTACATTGCAGATGTAGTAAATAAGGGAGAGAGTTCGAGCCCAAGTGTACATGAGGTACTTGTGGTAAATGAATTCATTGATGTGTTTCCAGATGAATTGTCAGGTTTACCTCCAGAGAGGGAAATGGAGTTTAGTATAGAACTAGCCCCCCGGTGTAGCCCCTATTTCAAAGGCTCCTTATCGCATAACCCCAATTGAGCTCCAAGAATTGAAGAAGCAATTACAAGAGTTGTTAGACAAGGGCTTTATCAGGCCGAGTCATTCCCCATGGGGTGCTTCAATTCTATTTGTGAAAAAGAAGGATGGGCCTATGAGGATGTGTATAGATTACCGTGAACTGTATAAACTAACGATTGGCAGACTTTTCACAAGTGTACGGAATCGTGCAAGTAGTAAAACTCGAGTAAACGAGTGTCAAATCTCAAGAGAACTACCTACCAAGTACCAAACTAGTATATTTTATTGCTATTTGATGAAACAGAATTTATGAATGAATTTAATGAAAACGAAAACAAATTAAAAACTAAATAAAAGCAAAATTTTATAAATACTTTGATAGAGAAATCAATATGACTAAACCTAGGGCACAGATTTCACACCAATTTAATCCTATGCATTGACAATTATTGCTAACCTAATTAAGCTTATTCTAAAGGTCAAACTCCCTAATATTCTACTAACTTTCTCTCGAACAATTAGCGAATTAACCCTTAAGCAACAACCTAAAATATCTCTAAGTTGAATTTAGAAGCTAAAAGATCATTAAGTTCTATGGAATTTACCAGAGCCTCACAGATCGCGGTAACCTATCTCTAGCGTTCGCTCAATCTATAGTTTTATTACCTTAGACTAATCAAGTTTTATCTCTCGATCTCAACCCAACCCATAAAATCATTCAACTCTCGGACCCTTAAGAATTGAAAGCATTATGCACAATAATAAAACTTAGAATTAAAAGCTCAATAAAAATTAACAACAATTTAAGTCAACACATATTCATAAATTGGTCTACATCTTAGCCCTAGAAAAGAGATTTAGTTTATAAATACAGTAATGAAAACAACCATTGTATTGAATAACATGAGTTTAAGAACGGAAAATAGAAACACTTCTCTAATTTGTGAACGAGAATTACAAGAATTCTGATCTCCAAAGTAGTAGCCGTTGTCTTCTTTCTCTTCCAATCCCCCCTTAAAACTAATTAAAAATCCTTATTTATAGTGCTAGGGTTTAGAGGTTACTTAGGAAAATAATTAAAATCCTTAACCCACTCAAATTCGGATTAGGAGAATGCAATAACCCAAACAGGCTCGAGACCCATCGCTGCGGCAATGAGAAACGATCACTGCGGCGATCGTTCTTTCTGTCCCCAGAGTCCGTGAAATTCAGAATTTGGTAAAGTCATCAACATAAACTTTATAGATCTTTGAATAAGCTTTCCAACTCCACCAGAATCGTTGAATTCCAATTACCACAGCTCAAGTTATGATCAAAACATCAAAGCATGCTCATTTTGAAAGATTTCCAGATTTTACATTGTAGTTTTGACGCGTCACAACTTTCTCGTTTCAACTCCGATTCTTGCACCGTTTGTTCCTACTCGTCACGAATTCCATCGACATCATTATTTTTCCTTCAAATATCGGTTTGAACCTGAAAATACTCAAAATACACCTGTGATCCTGTAAAAGGTATTTATGAAATAATAAATTCAAATTCCAACAATTAAACACCTTTTTCCACAAATAATCTAATTAAATCACTAATAAAATGTATACTTTTAAGCTCTTATAAATGGTAAAGAATAAGTACCCATTGCCCAGGATAGATGGTTTGTTCGACCAATTGAAATGTGCCTCAGTGTTTTCTAAAATTGATATAAGGTTAGGATACCATCAGGTTAGAGTGGCTAGGGAAGATATACCAATAACGGCTTTCCGAACAAGGTATAGGCATTATGAATTTGTTGTGATGCCATTCGGATTGACTCATGCACTTGCAATTTTTATGGACTTGATGAACAGAGTTTTCCATGATGTCATTGACAAGTTCATAGTGGTGTTTATTGATGATATCCTGGTTTATTCCAAGACTTTAAAGAACATGCCGAGCACTTGAGATTTGTGTCACAAAGATTAGGAGAGAAACAACTGTATGCCAAATTTTCAAAATGTGAGTTTTGGTTGGATTAGGTTACCCTTTTGGGTCATGTGGTCTCTAGAGACGGTGTATCAGTGGATCCTGGTAAAGTAAAGGCGATGCTCGAGTGGCAGAGGCCAAAGACAGTGAAAGAGGTTAGAAGTTTTCTAGGCTTAGCAGGGTGCTATAGGAAATTTGTGGAAGGCTTTGCAAAGATAGCCAGACCACTTACAGCTCTCACCAAGAAAGAAATACCATTTGAATGGGCAGAGACATGTGAGCAAAGCTTTCAGGAGTTGAAGAAAAGATTAACTACAGCTCCAGTTCTTACATTGCCAGAAGTAGGCATTGATTATGATATTTATGTTGATGCCTCCCACAATGGTTTGGGTGCAGAGTTGATGCAACAAGGGAAAGTCATTGCTTATGCCTCTAAACAATTGAAAAACTATAAAAGCAGATATCCTACCCATGACTTGGAATTAGCAGTAGTGGTTTTTGCTTTGAAGATATGGCAACACTACTTGTATGGAGTGAAATGCAACATATACACTTACCACAAGAGTTTGAAGTATTTCTTCACCCATAAAGAGTTGAATATGAGACAGAGGAGATGGTTAGAATTGGTGACAGACTACGACTGTGACATCAGATACCATCCAGGGAAAGCTAATGTAGTAACAGATGCCCCTAGTAGAAAAGTCTATTTATCTCAGATTACTGTACAGGGACAATTACAATTAGAGATCCTCCAAGAAGGAGTTGAAATTGTGATCAAAGGAGGATTGGTCCAAATGGAGATCAAACGCACTTTGGTGGAGAAGATCAAGGTGAAATAGGGTAAAAATGATACCTGCAAGGTGATATGCCAACAGATAATAGAGGGTAAAGAAACAGACTTTAAAACTGTCAATGGGGCACTGATGTTTAGAGATAGAATATGTGTACCTCAAGATGAAGAACTAAGGAATAAAATCCTTAGTGAGGCACACAATACACTTTATACAACCCACCCTAGGAGTGTAAAGATGTATCAAGATGTAAAGAAAAGCTATTGGTGGTCAGGTATGAAAAAAGACATTGCCGATTATGTTGCCAGATGTTTAACACGTCAACAAGTAAAGGCAGAGAATCAAAGACCATCAGGATTACTCCAACCCTTAGAGATTCCTAAATGGAAATGGGAGGATATCTCAATGGACTTCATTGTGGGACTTTCTAAAGTTCACCAAGGATATAATGCAATATAGGTGGTGGTTGATAGATTGACCAAGACATCTCATTTTTTTACCTATGACAAATAAGATAGATGCATTTCGATTGGGGCAATTATATGTCAGAGAGATTGTGAGATTACATGGAGTACCCAAGATGATTGTGTCAAACAAAGATACCAGGTTCATATAAGCTTTTTAGGTTGGAATGCAGAGAGCATTGGGTATAAGGTTAGCCTTCAGTACGGCTTATCATCCTCAAACTAATGGCCAAACTGAAAGGACTAACCAGGTGATTGAAGACATGCTTAGAGCTTGTTGTATGGATCACAAGGCAAAATGGAGTGATATACTTCCACTAATAGAATTTGCCTATAATAACAGTTACCAATCCATTATCTAGATGGCCCCATATGAAGCATTATATGGAAGAAGTTGCATATCCCCTTTGTACTGGGATGATATTGGAGAAAAAGACTTCTTGATTCAAGCAGTTGGACCAGAAATGACCCCCCCCCCCCCTCCGCAAAAAAAAAAGGATTGAAGATGTTAAGCTTATTAGAGAAAGAATGAAGCAAGCCTAAGATTGACAAAAGAGCTATGCCGACCTAAAAAGAAAAGAAGTGGAATTTCAAGTGGGCGACAAAGTTTTTGTAAAAGTCGCGCCTTATAAACATATTATGAGATTTGGAAGGAAGGGCGCTTCCTTTGAAGTATTGGAAATGGTAGGCAAAGTAGCTTATAGACTTGCGCTGCCAATGAGCATGGAAAGAGTCCATAATTTTTTCCATGTCTCTTTGTTGCGTAAGTATGTTAGTGATCCTCCACATGTGCTTCAGATGGAGGAAATGGAATTACAGGATAATTTGGCTTTGGAGGAACGCCTAGTTCAAATCCTTGACAAAAAGGTAAAAGAGCTCAAAAACAAGCAAATTCCACTAGTTAAAGTGCTTTGGAGGAACACAAGATAGAAGAAGCTACTTGGGAAATGGAGCAAGATATGAGAAGTCGATACCCGGAGCTGTTTCTATAATTTCGAGGACGAAATTATTGTAAGGGGGGAGGAAATGTAATACCCAAGATGTCAAAGGTATGTTCCTAACTCAAAATAGTCCTTTAAATGTTTATTTTATGTTAAAAAGCATAAAATCTAACTAAGGGCAAAATAGTCAATTCATTTGGAACGGTATGAATCAATTATCCATAAAGAGGCTTAGGGGCAAAATGGTTATTTTGCCTATGGATAAGCATTGAAAAAGTCAAGGATGAGTAGGCTTCATTGCATTTAATGGCATTAATTAAGTAATAATTATGTCTAGTGTGAAATGACCAAAATGCCCTTATATGAAGAATTAAGGACTTATGAGTTATACAATTAAAATAATTGGGCCAATTGCATAATTTTGGAAAATAAATGAAATATTTTCCTATAAATGAGATGAAATTCGTTCAAGCCAAAGGAGAGAGCCTTTCTTCAACATTTCTTCCATTTTCTCTCAAATCTTCCATGAAACAAGCTTTCTTTCTCTAGGTTTTCAAGGAGTTTTGCATAATTTTTCAAGGAGAACAAGATAGGAGCCTTGGATCTTCAATTTGAAGGGTTTAAGGTAAGGATTAAAAACTTTAGTTTTGATGTGATTTGAAGATTTGAGGTAGATGTTGAGGTATAATGTTATATATGTAGGATTAAGGTGTAAAAGAAGTCAAAGGCAAAGGATTTGTTGGAGGAAGTCTTTAAAAAGGTAAGGAAGAACCTCCCATGACTTTAGGGTTTATGCTAGGGTTTGTAGATTTTTATGAAACCTTAAATTAAGGCTTTAAGGCATAGAATTAGTTGATGGCAAGTGTAGTTGAACTCATTTATTCTACTTATTGCCTTGAATTCATTATACATGAAGTTATTGCTATTTATGTTTTATGAGTTCTTATGTTTGATTGAAGAAAATGAAGTGTGGATACTGATTGTGGCAAAAATTGTAGTATTGGAGGCCACATGGTGTTGAATGGTTGCTATTAGAAGTGTTGATGTGTTGTTTGCATTAGCTTACAATGTTATAACAATAATAGATGATTATGGGAATGAGATTTTACACTTTCTTTAAGATGTTAAAGACTACTGACCTATTGGTTAATTGTCAATAGGAATTGATGTGGCATAGTTTGATATGAAAAATTCAAATTTGACAAGCTTAGGGGTTATGTTAAACATGCTTCAGTATTTCGACTATAACTTGAGTTATAAAAATCAAAATGAGATGATTCTTGTAGCACTAGAAATTTAAGACATAACCTTACAACTTTTATGTTTAGGCCAAGAGCCAATTCGTTTAGGAAATGGATGGAAAATGGCCTGAAGTATAAGTTTCTAGTTATTAAAGTTTAAGATTTAACATAATTAATTCTTATGATTATGAATTGATTATATATTGACGTGATTAAGCCATTTATTAATGTTTACCCATTAGTTAGATGATCTTTAAAAGATATACATGGTCATGATGTCAATGCATGATTAATGTTATGAAATGACATGAAGATTCAATGTAATACATGTTTTAAGATGATGAATGTGAGCAAGAGGTAATGTAAATGGATTAATAATCCATAGATGAATAAAAAGTATTAGGCTCACTAAAATATGTATTTATATGCCATAAGATGTTAGAGATGCATATAGACATGATGGAAAATGCATAAGCTTATCCTCGTATACCGGTTGAGGAAAGATGAATATATGCTTTAGATGTTAAATAACGTGTAAGCACGCCTCTCGATGATATGAGCTCTAGATGAATTTAAGGCTAGATGATATGAAGTGCTTAAGATGCTAAGAAAAGTCTGATCGGCTACACATTAAATGCTTCATATGCAATTAGTTGCATTACATGAGTTATGATATTATTTACATCATGAGATGATTTATACTCGTGTTAGATGATATTTAGATGTTATATCATGACATGTAATGTGTGTCTACTATGTTTACATACTTATTTGTATGTGTATGCATTGATGTTTAAATAGTCATGGGATAAAATGATGAAAAACATATGAATTAGAAAAAAAAAAGGGGGGGAAGTATACCTAGATGTAAAAGATAAGTGGTGTGTTAACAAATATGTTTAAATGAAGGTCAAATAACACATTTAGAATAAAATGGATCATTCCTTACTGAGTGATTAACGCTCACCCTTTCATTGTTGATTGCTTTGCAGGTAGACCAGAAGCGAAGGATGCTAGATACAGCGGGGCTACACATGAGGGAAGATGATTTATTGTCATCTTGATGTAAATAATGTAAATGATAAATGTTTGTGAAACACCTTTGAAAGCTTCCACCTTATAAATATGTTTTGATTGTGTAATTTCCGGATAAATTCTTAAAGTTTTTGCAATTATAAGTTTGGATCGTGCGTGACATCTTATATGAATGTTTTGGATATTATTATTATTATCCTTACATAGGTTTTTCTAAATACAACTCATTCTCCAGACATGTATCCCTAGGATTCTTATTGAGGGATATTTAGAGGATACCTGACTAAGGGGGTGGGGGTGAGTTTACAGCTACCAAGCACTAGGTTTAAAGGAGTTTTGTAGAGTGGAGGTTGGTGGTTCACGTGGTAGTGTCTGATTGAATTTCGGCTGCCATAATCAGTCGAAAAAATCAACTTGATTGTAGCAATATACATGAGTCAAGGCTGGCAAACAAGCGGCTACCAAGTTTCGAGGTTAGAGGGGTTTTGTAGAGTGAAGATTAGTGGTTACGTGGTGGTGTCAAATTGAATTTTAAACGCTGGAATCAGTCAGAATTTAGCCGAAAAAACCAAAACCCTAACTGTGCGATTAGATCACACAGGTGTGTTTGTTGGGTTTCAAACCTGTAGGAATTGATGATATTTAGTAGGGGTGTGTTTACAAGATTTCAAAATTGATAGATCACCGACAAGATCGTTGGTTTAACCGGTTGGACTAGTCAGCCTGGGATCCGGCCCGTTGGCTGAGTGACACCCCGAGTTAGGTTTTAGAACACTGCTAATAACCTAAAATTTGCAAAATTGTGATGAAAGTTATTTGAACCCAAAATGTCATCACAAAATTGATATATTAATGCTTTATTCAAAAGAAAATAAGAAGAGAAGTTAGAATTTATGGAATTTAGATAGTTTACGATAAATATTAAATAAGGTTTTGTTTGAGGTTTAATTAAATAACAAAATTTTCCCTCAAATTTTAGAAATAACAACATTTTTTTAGCTGTTAGTCAGCCGTTAATATGTGGTCAACATTTACAACGTAATGAGTTAATAAATATTTACGATATTACCTTTAATAAATATTTACAATATTACCTCTTTATTGTTTATTTTAATACCAAAAAATTAACGATAGGGGAATTTCTGTTAATTATTTCTCTAACCATAGGGGGAATTTTGTATTTAAAAACTTAAGGAGGATTATTGTTATTGACCCTATTAAATATTTACAATTTGGTTTATGAATAGATAGTATACTGTTATTAGCATAACATTGACTTTATGATATGGGGGTTAGAAACGTGATTTGCAGTAAAATCAATTTCTATATAATAAAGAAACTTCATTATCAATTATGTGACAAAAAATTTGGGTCCGTTTGATTTATGATACAGAATTAATTCAAAATATGATTTGAATTTTTTAGTTGTGTCTAAATATTTTCAATTTTTGAAAAATATGTTTGATATAATATTAAAAAACTATTTTTAGATTAAAAACCATGAAACAGTTTTTAATGGTTTTTCAATTTTATACTAGTTTTTAGGAGTGTATCCAAAAACTTTTTTCAAAAACATTTCAACTTAATTGTACAAAACATATGTTTATAAGATTTTTTTTATCCCTTGTGTAAAAAATACAAAAAATTTATTTAAATTTTATTTCAAACAGACTCTAAGTAACTCCAAATGTAAACCTAATTTTGACATCAAGCAAAAGCAAGATGTTGTATATGAGAAATTAGGCCGAATAGCTTACAAGTACCCAAGGTTTGCTGTAACGACAAATGGTACCCAAAAGGTTTAGAATCGACAAATAAGTACTTTCTGTTTTGTACTGTTACTGATTTCCATTTCATAAAGGGCAATACAATAATTTTGTACGGCCATCAAACTTTTAACTTTCAAATTATCACCTCGATATCTGGAGCGAAACTTCTTTTGGAAGATTCACTTTAGAGATTGACACGTGTCCCATTAAGTTGACTTTGCAAAAAATCGAATAAAGCAAAATAAAGCAAAACTTTTGGCTTGCCTCTTCATTTCCTTCTCATTTGTCTCTAACTCTCTTTCTCATTTGTCTCTAACTCTCTGAAAGAAGGTTTTGAATGAAGCTGTTGCCATTGTTTGGAGACCATCATCGACGATAGTGAAACGAAAACCCACGACAATGTAAGAGTTAAAACTGATGACAGTGGCAGAGTAAGTTCATTGAACGACAACGAATCCTAAACAAAGACGATAGACGACGTCTAAGAGAGAGAATTGTGGGGTAACGACGACGGTGGAAGACGACTGAACTAAGGCCGGTGTTATTAACAGTATAAATCATCAACGATGACTAAACAATGAAAACTGAAGGGTTAATCGAAAGTTTCTTCTTAGTTTTCTTGTTTGTTCTTCAGTTTTTTCTTATTTCAGTGCACTTCTAAGTTTTTGGTTTTTCTTATTTGTTCTTCTTACTTGCATGTTTGGTTGTTTTTAAAGTTTTTTGTTTGTTTATTTGGTTTAGGATCGTGGGGTAATGATGACGATGGAGGATGACTGAACAAAGGTTGACGACGATGTGTAATGAATGTTCTTGGTTTTCCATGTTTGGTTGTTTTTAAGGTTTTTTGTTTGTTTGTTTGGTTTAGGGTTTGTTCTTAAAAGAGTTGATTATATGCTGGAGTGTGTAATGTATAAAATCCAGCCAAGCGGTGGGGCTGGTTTGCTTGAATTGATTATTGGGAGTGTGAATAGCTTGTCTTATATATTTTTGGGTTGCAGGATGAAGCCACAACTAGATTTTTGTTTTTAACAAAGTTGATTATATGATGTCCTACTTTTGTGATGTTTGATACTACATTTTGTTAATGAGGTATGGTATATCAGCTGGAAAACTGGGTGTGCACTGCTATTGGCAAGAAAGAGTACTATGTATGTGCAGAGGCCTGTAAGTTTACGGGTTGACCGCCAGGTTAACAACGCCACGTACCAATCTCATTGTATGTAGTAGTGTGTAATGAATGTTCTTGGTTTTACATGTTTAGTTGTTTTTAAGGTTTTTTGTTTGTTTCTTTGGTTTAGGGTTTGTTCTTAAAAGAGTTGATTATATGCTGGAGTGTGTAATGAATAAAATCTAGCCAAACGGTGGGGCTGGTTTGCTTGAATTGATTATTGAGAGTGTGAATAGACTATCTTATTCTTATTTTCTTTTGTATTTAATGTCTGATTATGGAGAAGCCTCGGTAGTTTGGATTGGTGTCCTACAATTTTGTCTCTATCTTCATTCTCTTTCATTTTATAGTTTTTATTTTATATTCTTGACTCCTGACTTTGTAAATTTCTAGTGTGTTTCAGTAGTGCTTAAGTATTATGGTGTACATGTTTCTAATATTGATTCTAACTTTTGCCTTTGTGTTATGGAAAGATTTTTTTGGTGACACTTATGCCAGAATCTTATCAAGCTTTGATTATTTACTCTAAGATTTAGTGCTAGAAGTCTGTTCTCTGTTTTGAAATTCATGCACATAATCTTAGAAAATTTGCAGATGCTTTTGGAGAGCAGGGCAAGGATGCTAATGATGGATTCCATATGATCCCGCCAAGTTCTGTTCTGCATGTTGATCTAGAGTTGGTGTCCTTCAAGCCTGTGATTGATGTTTATGGTGATTCCAAGGTATTTAAGAAGATCTTGAGAGAGGGGGAAGGCACTATCACTGCATATGAAGGTGCTACTGTAACCAGTAAGTAAACTAATGTATGAATAATGGTGGGCTTAATAGTATGTTGTATGAATCTTGACATCTCAAGTTACCCTAATTAAAACTATATTCATTCTATCTTAAACTCTTCAATGTTGCAGTCAAACAAACGACTAGGCTAGAAGATGGAACTATCTTTGAGAAAAAAGGAATTGATGGGGAGCAACCTCTTGAATTTATAATAGATGAAGGTAGTGTATCCCCACTATTCTCATGTTGTCTTCTTTTTTTAATATTCTTGCACTTTCTTGTCATGTATATGTAACATTATACTAAAAAATTAGGGTTAAAAAATGTATTTTAATCTAGTATAGGTTCTATCATTATATATATTAAAATTACAGACATATATGAAACGATAGGATTTTCAGAAGAAAAATTACAAATAGACTAATGTTATTATTGATTTTTTTTTTTTTTTTCAACAACCTCCTTTACATGAAGGTGAATTAATGGTATCACTGTAATTAAAAAGAGGTAAATAAAATGACAGAAGAGGATCAACAAGGTGAACAGACTCAAATAGAAATTGATAAATTCAACTCAATGTTCTGTATTGTTATGAGTGTCCAGCCAATAACCAAAGGATTGGATTAGGTCTAATTTTCAACCCATTTGAAAAAAATGGTGAAATCACTCAAGAGCCCAATACAAGTGAGTAAAGGGCCAAATTCGCATCATTGGGATGAAGATTTAGAGAGATTATCCCAATTTTAGAGTGGTTTCATTTAAGCCTCACAAAAAACTTTTTTGTATTAAATAATATTTTTGTCTTTAAATCAAGCAACTCCATCTTGAGAGCCTCTTGCAAATACATCTTCTTTTTAAAATTCAATCACTTAAGAAGCAAGTTCATCAGCTATATGTTTTATTGCTTTATTTTACTTTACTTACTACCATGTATATGAGATGGGTTTTTAATTTAATTTAATTTTTTTTTTTTTTTTTTGCAATTTTCAGCTCTGTGTTTATAGTTGTTTGATAAATAGAACCAAAGAATTGAAAAAAAAAAAAAAATTAAACAAAATGAAGTTGTGACTTGATAAGTTATAGTTGATTTCGAGCTAGATTTGTAGTCAATGCTAAAGTATGGGAAGGTTTTGACGGTCGTACTTAATACTCTTATAAAATTTAAAATCCATTAAAATTGTGTTTAAATGGTGTTTTATATTCTCATCAACTTAATTAATTAATTTAAAAATCCACTGCAATTTTGAAAGTACGTTAAATTTTAGTTATTATTCAATAATAAAAAAAAGGTCTAATTTAATTAAAGTAACTGTTATTTGCATGTTTTTCATTACTTAATAAAACATAAATTCCAGTTTATTGATTCTGCCCAGTTTATTTACAAGATGGAGCCACAACTATTTAATTTGAAATTTTAGTTGTTCGGTATTGATTATGAGATGCGAAATGTGGACCTCGATGAATTTAGCTATATAGTGTTGATAAAGGATATGAAAAAATGTGTTGCAGAAGAGAATGTGGCAATTCAACTTAATCTTAATGAGAAGTTTAGGGTGGAATTTACTTTACCATTGTCGGGGGAGAAATGTTTAATAGATAGTGATAAGGATGTGGCATTCCTTTTCTAGCAATATGGGTTTGAGGGGTTAAAGGACATTAGGTTGTATGTTGAAGCTTTACTTGTACAGTGTGTGGAACCATTGTAGCCTTTGCCAGAACCCAACCATACTAAACCTAATGACACTCAAACAAAAATTCCCCCCCAAAGAGTATTGTGAGGATTACTTCCATTGGAGTGATGCCTCCAATGATGATGAAAACAGTAATGGATTTGCTAGTGTAGCTGGGATGTTGATGGTGAGGTTGGCGATAATGATGATAGATGGAAGAGAGGAAATGGCTGAAACTAATGATAATAAGGGAGAGGTAGCGGCTGAAACTAAGGGGCATATATCTGATTACGAGAAAAACAGTGACGATTTCATGGGGGGTCTAGTGAGGATGAGGATGCAGTGAGTAGGATGAGTAGGCATATGAAGGCAAGTGAGTTTCAATATGGGGCAGATGGGAAAATTAAATTTGAGGTGGGGCAGGTTTTCAAAAATAAAATCCATTTTAGTGAAACTTTGAAGGACTACATAATTCAAAGAGGGTTCGCAGTGAGAATGGTGCATAATGACAAGCGAAGGATCAAAGCCGTGTGTAAAGAAGAGGGCTTCCCATTCTTTCTATATGCAGCCTTAATGGTTGACAAACAATCGTGGCATATTAGGAAATATGTAACCAACCACACATGCCTTAGAGTATATAACAACCCGGATGCCTCTGCCTTATGGATTGCTAAGAAGATGGGGGGATTCATTCGGTCACACAAGGGGAGTTATGTTAAGCCCTTAGATGTTGAATTAGGAAGGATGCATTTTTTGGAGATGCATAAAAGGAAGTTGTATAGGGATAGGAGGTTGGGCATCAGAATGACCCAAAAACAACGTGCTGAGTCTTTTGCCTGGTTGTTCAAGTACAACCACATTCTTCAGGTCACCAACCCTAAAGCCATGATAGAACTTAGGTTGGTTAGAGAAGAAGACCCAAACAATCTTACAATTAGAGAAATAGTCCCACAAAGTCCTAGATTCAAGAGATTTTTTTGTAAGTTTTGCTGCTCAGAAAAGAGGATTTTTGGAGGGGTGTAGGCATTTCATAGGAATTGATGGGTGTCATTTGAAAGGTCACTATGGTGGGGTACTTCTATCAACAGTCTCTATGGATGCAAATAGTGGGATATTCTGTAATACCCAAGATGTCAAAGGTATGTTCCTAACTCAAAATAGTCATTTAGATGTTAATTTTATGTTAAAAAGCATAAAACATAACTAAGGACAAAATAGTCGATTCATTTGGAACAATATGAATCAATTATCCATAAAAAGGCATTAGGGGCGAAATGGTCATTTTGCCTATGGATAAGCATTGAAAAAGTCAAGGATGAGTAGGCTTCATTGCATTTAATGGCATTACTTAAATAATAATTATGTCTAGTGTGACACTTTTATTATTGATTGCTTTGCAGGTAGACCAGAAGTGAGGGATGCTAGAGACAGCAGGGCTACACGTGAGGGGTGCTAGAGACAGCAGGGCTACACGTGAGGGGAGATGATTTATTATCATCTCGATGTTTTTATCTTGATGTAAATAATGTAAATGATAAATATTTGTGAAATACCTTTTGGAATATTCCACCCTATAAATATGTTTCAATTGTGTATTTTACAGATAAATTCTTAAAGTTTTCAAATTATATGTTTGGATCCTACATGATATTTTATATGCATGTTTCGGATATTATTATTACTATCCTTAAACAGGTTTTTTCTTCTAAATACACCTTGTTATCCCCAGGATTCTCATTGAGGGATATTCAGAGGATACCTGACTGGAAGGGGGTTTTACATATTCCCTTTGGCAATATGTGTTTGTGAGGCGGAGAATAATGACTCATGGGGCTTCTTCCTTGGACTATTGCATGATTTTTTTGGGTGATTTAGAGCATGTTACATTCATGAGTGACAGACAAAAGGGCATTCTAAATGCACTAGAAGCAAAGTAGCCAAATGCAAGGAGTCGATTTTGTGCTCAGCATGTGTACGCAAACTTCAGAAAAAAAAAATTCCTGGGGTTCACATGAGGAAATTGTTTTGGGTAGTGAGTAGGCTGCAAACAAACCAGATTTTGTTAAGGTCATGGGAAGTGTCAAGGATGTAGATGAGGGTGCATACAAATGGTTGCTTGAAAATGAACCAGACTAATACAAATGCGTTTGACACAACAACAAAGTCAGATCACATAACTAACAACATGAGTGAGTGCTTCAACTCATGGCTTGGTGAAGACAGGGAACTTCCTATACTAAATCTACTAGAACTTTATCGACATAGGGTAATGAAGCGGTTACAATGTAGATTGAAAGCTGGTACAAAGTGGATTATACTTGTTCCACCAGTAGTTCACAAAAAGATAAACAAGATGATTGAGGTAGCTAGAAATGTCAAAGTCTGGTACCCTGGATCTGATGAGTTTGAAGTAGATGATGAGAATGTAAACCCATGTAAAAGTACTCATGTTTTGGTTTTGGGTAAGCAACTGTGTGATTATGGGATGTGGCAACTATCAGGAATTCCTTGTGTTCATGTTATTGCCTGTTTGCTACACAAGAACATTTCCAACTATGAACATTATGTTGATCTGAAGCTTAGAATTCTGATGTACCTGCAAACTTATGCATATATGGTCCACCCTATTCCTGACAAGACTAGTTGGCCAGAGGTCAATGATGAATATATTTAGCCACTATGCAGGCAGCCCAAGGTTGGCAGACCTTCGAAATCAAGAAGAATATATCCAAATGAAGAGCCAAAATCTAAAAGGATCTCTACACTTAGGTGTAGTGTCTAAAGTGTCTTGCGGCATACCAAAAGGTCCTGCAAAAAAAAAATCCAGCAAATGCAGATAAAAGGAAGAAGCATAAGATAATAGAAAAAATGTCAATTTCTTCATATTTTCTCTTATAATACTGATTTCTATTTTTTTATTTGCAGCGAACCTTTGTATCCACAATGACTGCGCCTTCTTCAGGAGCTCGATTTGTAGCAAACTTGTCCCAAGCTTCAAGTTCAAGGGGTACTTAAAACTATTTTAAACCATACAATATTTATGTCAATTACTTTTTACCTTCGCTAACGTTATTCTTACTTCTCTTAATAGGTCAACCAAGTCAATAATGCAATGGGGAAGTTCTTTTGTTTGCTATAGCAGTAGGTTGTTTTTGTTTCTATCACTTTTTTTTTTGGTACTTTGATTATCCTATTCTAACCCATTGTTTCTATACTTTGTTCAGTGTTTCGAACATGTTGCTTAGTCAACTAAATGTTTTTTTGCTACCTGGACCTCTAACACAACAACTAAGAAGAATAGGTGTGTATTATTACTTAGCTGTAATGTGATATGTTCATGTGCAAGATTATTAACAGTTGAATTATGAGAATCTAATGAAACACCTGATGTGTTGGAATGGGTAGTAGAGGATTATTTGCAGTTGGGCAAAAGTGTTCCTAGGCGTGTGAATGTTGAGGAAGAATTATGTGGGATAGGTGGGAATTCTATCATGGAAAGATTCTAAATGGGATAAAAAGGAGTCAGAGAGAATTAGGGAGGATATTCAGAAAAGTGAAGAGTGGAAAATAGGGGAGGATATTTGAATTCTTGCATTGTTTTTATCTCTTGTTGTCTTAGTTTTGCTTTGCTACTCTTTATCTGTGTCGTTGGGTTGCATTGTGTTGTTTATTATCCTTGTATTGGCTTGCTAGTTGGGTGATTTATTGGTTGTTGGTTGCTATATTTTTCTAGGTTTCTTGGTTGATTGCTTTGGTTGATTGGTTGCTGATTACTATTATTGTATGGGTTCTTGTCTAAAAGGGGTACTGCAATTTCATTGTTTGGGGTTGAGTATTAGAAGGGTATCACATCTGAAATTTTTTTTAGTTTCTATTTCTTTCAAAAAAACATAAATTGTTGGAAATTGTTGTCCTAAATCAAGAAGGGCTTCTCCGTGAATACATGAAACTAAGGAAGGATTAGTCTCTCTATTCAGACCCTTGCTGCTGGTTTAACTATAGTAGAATGCTGGAACATGATTTTATCTTTACAAAATTTTCTATGTTCTCATGTCTCTTTTTAAGGAATCCAGTTTGCACAATGCATTCCCATTGTAGTGGATTTGCAATGATGATGTTTGTACTAGACAAGAGTATGTATCTACAGTTTATTACATTGCAATTGTGCCTATTTTTGCAGCTATGGGTGTGCATTTGTGGATTTGCAGGATGGAGAAGATGACAATTTTGTGCCTATGTTTGCAGCTATGGGTGTGCATCTGGAAACTGTTCAGTTTTTCAAACCTGATTTGAAGTTTGAAGTTCTAGTTGTATATCACATTTTCATGTACTGAATTCATGGTTTCTGTTTAAACCATAAAGACTTAATTGATATTGAATATCATATACTGAATTGATGTTAATTGTGAATGCTTTCTTTTAAATTATGAAAAATTTCAATTTTCAACCACAAATGAGTATATTGATACTGCTTCTACAAAAGCAGGGATAAATTGGTCACTTGTTGTGTCTCATTTTTTACAAACTCATAGGGATAAAATGGTCATTTCACTAACTCATAATAACATGAGGGCATAATATAATTCACCATAATGATGTGGGTATTTATGTAATTGAATAAGTTGACTAGTGATAAATTAATAAAAAACTAAGATGTCAAACTTCTAAGGGCATTCCAGTCTTTTCACCATTATAAAATGGAAATCTATAACAATACAGGACAGAAAGTATCTATTTGTCTTTCTCAAACCTTTTGGGTACCAACTTGTCATTACTGAAAACCTTGGGTATGTCTAAGTCGTTCTCTTGAGAAATTATTATGAAAGGTAGTGAAATTTTTTAAGGTCATGGCATTATCACTATAACACACAAAAAAATCAGAAAAACAAATAAAAGAGAGAATAATAAGTTTTTTTTTTTTTTTTTAAATCCTTATGAGTAACCCCTTTAACATGATATTGAGAAACATACAACTATTGGGATTAGAATGACTACCAACAATATAAAGAAAAAGAAAACAATAAATTTATGTGTGACTAAAAGAACAATTAAATATAACTTCAATTAAAAAATATTGAGAAACAATGAAAATCTTATAGTTATATAATGTTTGTAATATGATAATTCTCATTGCAAAAAAAAAAAAGAAAAAAGAAAAAAAAAATCTCCTTTTAAATACATCTTATTTATATTAAAAAAATAATTTTAAACCCTATTTAATACAAAAAAATAACTCTCTAAGTCAAATTAAGTTTTTTATTCACACCCCTTTTTCCCATTTCGATTTTGAAATTTATTTATTTATCTTAAATTCATTTTTTTTATTTTTCTAATAATATATTTTTATCAAAAAACAAATATTTGAAATAATATAAAATATTTTAATGATTATGAAGATTTAAAATTATTTTTATATAAGAGTTAAAGGTTTTAATTATTTTCTTTAAGGTTGAACTTATCAAAATAATTAAAAAAAAGGTTGGCTTAAAAGTTAGTGTTTGTTTTATTATTTTGAGTAGTATTTTTGAACAAGTTGAGTTTGGTTATTATTACAAGGTAAGATTTGAATTTGAAAGTGTGTTTTGTAAGATTATTGTTTAATCTCTTATATTTGTTAATTTAGTTAAACACTCTCTACAATAAAAGTTTTAAAATTAACAAAAACACTCCCACCTACCCATTAAATATTGGCAACCAGTGGCCAGTTGCCGGGAATATGTAGTTGGTTGGGGGTGTTTTTGTCAATTTATAAATTTTTATTGTTGGGGGTGTTTAGCTAAATTAACAAACTTATGGAGTTTTAAAATAGTTGAATATAATATAATTGGACTTTCAAAATAGGGAAACAAATATGTATTCTGGGTATGATAGGGTAGAAATAATGCCTAGGGGTTCAAAAGTGATTAACTAAATCGGTTAACAGCTTTCTTGAACCGAATCAGTTTTTCGGTTCGGGAAAATTCATAACCCAAAACCAAACCGGTTTGGGGGGAAAACCGATTTTGAACCGATTTTCCCCTTTGTATTGGATAACACTTTTTTTTTTTTTCCTAAATTAAATTGTAAACATCAATAATATACATCCAAATAAAAATTAAACATTCATACATATCCATTGATCATAACAAACAATACATTAAAAAAGATTGATGCAAATAAAAGTAAAAAATTAAACAAAAGTCTGTAACAAAATGTCCATAATAAAACAACAAAATAACTAAATAAGTCCCAATAGAAAACAACAAAAGAAATTGTACAAATTTAGGGATTGAGATTATTATGATTATCATTATTATATATATAAACCGGTTCAAAAAATTAGTTTCGGTTAACCGGTTTTCATTGTTACCTAAACCAAAAACTGAACCTAAAATCCCCTTTTTTGAATTATTTGAACCATAACCAACTATTTTTTTGATTAATCATTTTTTGATTTAATTACCAGTTCGGTTATAGGCTCGGTTCAGTTTTTACATTTTTTTAATACTCTTAATAATGCCCCAAACACAGCCTAGCATATTTTTAAAAGCTCAAACATTTGGGTTTTGGGCCCAAGAGGAATCCGATTCGGCCCATAATTTAACCCCTTCTTTCCAGCACATTCCAAAAAGAAATATTAAAAAACAAGAATCAAATCAAATTCTTGCTGTTTCTTTCAGAAACAAGAAACTCCCATGGAAAAACCAGCATCAGTATCAAGCTCCAAAGAGCTTCAGTGCGTCGGAACTTTAGAAATCGCAAAACCCAAACCAGTGGGTTTCCTCTGCGGTTCAATTCCAGTTCCCACTGACAAATCCTTCCATGACGGCTTCAATTCCGCTCTCGTCCCCTCCCCGCAAACGTAAGAATTTGAATTTTTTTTCACACTGTATTAAAATTAACGTATAAATAAGTTTAAATTATGATTTAAAGTTGGGTTTTTGTTTGTGGGTATTGTAGAGTTAGCGCTCCTCGCTACAGGATGCTGCCCACTGAAACGGATCTTAATAGGCTCCCCGTTGTGCCCAATTTTCCGGAGAAGGTTCTCCCCTTTGGCGCCGTACAGTCTAAAGCCACTGAAGGTTCGTTTCTGGTACATTTATTTGATTATTATGTGTGTTGTGTAGTTTCAGTTATGGCTTAGCGTTTAAGTTTGTAATTTGTGTAATGCTAAGTATACAAACTTCATAAGTAAATTGAAATTGATGTTGCATTACTCATTTATAAAGAATTCTCAAGTGTAGACGGCTGCGTTTCTTTAAAATTCGGACTCTCATTAGTTGGGCCAGATGTTGAAAGACAAATTTTGCAGTTTTGGATGCCAAAAATTTTAGATGAACGAATTCTGCATTTTCAAAAAAATCTCAAGTGTAGATGTCCGCATTTCTTTAAAATTCAGACTCTCATTAGTTGGCGCAGATGTTGAAAGACAAATTTTGCAGTTTTGGATGCTAGAAAGTTTAGGTGAAATTTTGTCATTTAATATTACTTGATGTCAACCAACAAGGTATGCTTTTTAAAAAATCTCAAGTGTAAATGTCTGCATTTCTTTAAAAATCCGGACTTTCATTAGTTGGTGCAGATGTTAAAAGACAAATTTTGTAGTTTTGGATACTAAAAAGTTTTGCTGAAATTTTGTTTTTTTAATATTGTTGATGTCAACTAACAAGGTTAGCTTTTTTATAAAATTGCGAACCTCCTCTAGAGATAAATTGACTCTTTTATTGCCACTGTTCTCTTTCATTTATTTGTGCTATGTGTCTGGTATGTTTTCATAGTTATTGAAAAGAGTTTAAGGATTTGATGGGTATTAGAAGGTATGATTGATGATGGATTTAGTTTTATTATATTTTTGTAGTAGAATCTGATGTACATTTCGGACCTACTTGATAAAGTACAGAAGAAGAATACTTGTAACTTGTAATTACTGGTGGGTTGTGATAGTAGGCTTTACAGTTGAGAAAAACTTGTTAATACTTTCCAAATTTATAGCACAGTGGATATGGGGTTGTTGGAACCTGCTGTGTATATTTTAACATCAATCGTTGTATGATAAGTTCACTGTAAGTTGTAGAATCAAACATTAATTCATCGAGAGAAAACCTTGACTCTTAGTTTATTAGTAGATGATCAGAGCAGGAAAATGAGTCATTGAGTTGTTCTTTTGATTGATAGGAGTAGGATATGAGGAGGACAGAAACAGGAAAGTTGTTACCTTTCACCACCATTATGTGCTTTACATGTTGAAATTTTAAATAGTTGTTTATAAGTTTAGATATTAGTGTGGGATAAGAATAAAAACTTAAGTTAATTTTCTCATCTTGGCAGACCTTATCATTTTTGTCCCGGCTCTACCCATTTATTACAGTTTTTTTTCTTTTTTTTTTTTTTTGGGTGAGGACTTGGACAACATTTAGGTTATTAATGGGCTTTATATTGTTGTTGAAGCTTTATTAAGTACTTTGGTCTTGAAAGTTAGTGCTTTCCTGATCCTTTGTTTTCTATTTCATTACAACTTTAGTATCTTGAAACAGAACTTTATGCCGTATTTATGCTGTTACTTCGTATTATAGCAGCTAATGTACGACTTATAACGCTTTCAATATCAGCCACGAACAAGGCACTGCTGCTTCTTTAAGGAATTTTTAATTCTACAATTATTTGATAGGCAAAAGTTATTTACTACTATAACAGTAACATGGGACCAGTATGACATTTAACATAATTTTGGTGTTCTACGTGGCAGACATTAGTAGAGAAGGTGCTATTGCATCAAATCTTAGCAGGAGATGTGAAGCCCTTGCTGTATCTGGTTTGGTAGAATATGGAGATAAGATTGATGTGATTGCTCCAGCAGACATTTTGAAACAAATCTTTAAAATACCATATTCCAAGGCTCGATTATCAATTGCTGTTCACCGTGTTGGCAAGACTCTTGTTCTGAATACTGGGTATGTAACTTGTTGTGGCTTCTTTTGTTGGTCATTCTGTTCAGTGTTTTAACATCTTAAATTTATGCAAAGTGCAGGTCTGATGTTGAAGAAGGAGAGAAGCTGCTCAGAAGACATAGCAGTCAATCAAAATGTGCAGATCAATCTTTATTTTTGAACTTTGCAATGCATTCAGTTAGAATGGAGGCTTGTGATTGTCCACCAACTCATCATTCTCCACGTGAGAGGCAATCAAACTCATCAGTTCTTCCTGGGGATGATGCATCCCATTTTGTGAGACAAAGTGATGATGTTGCTCGAAAGAATGAATTTGAACATTGTACGGAGTATCCACAGGTCAAACAGGATAGCTACATTTGGGAAAGTACGAAGAATAAGAGAAATAAGGGCCATGATCCTGTTAAAAAGGCCTCGCATGTTGGTGAAAAGCCTAGATGCTCAATTCAAGAGTCTGAAAAACATAGGAGAGTTGGTAATGATGAATTTTTAAGGGTTTTGTTTTGGCAATTTCACAATTTCCGCATGCTACTGGGTAGTGATTTGCTTCTGTTCAGTAATGAAAAATATGCTGCTGTGAGCTTGCATTTATGGGATGTCACACGACAGGTTGTAGCTAACTACTGAAATTTCTTTTAATTATTATTTTTTATTTAGCTTCATATTTTCTACATGACTCAATTGTTTCCAACCACGCCATCCCTCTTGGCAGGTTACTCCTTTGACATGGCTTGAAGCCTGGCTTGACAATGTCATGGCAAGTGTGCCTGAGTTGGCAATCTGTTATCATGAAAATGGTGTTGTTCAGGGTTATGAGCTTCTGAAAACAGATGATATATTTTTGTTAAAAGGCATCTCTGAAGATGGTACTCCTGCTTTTCATCCCCATGTTGTCCAGCAAAACGGACTTACAGTTTTGAGGTTCCTTCAAGAAAACTGCAAGCAAGATCCTGGTGCTTATTGGGTACTGTTCTCTTTTGTTCTTACATGAATGGCCATGTTGTTGCTTTAATGTTACTGAACTTTGTTTTGGTTATCTGACATCATATTTGACAGCTATACAAAAGTGCTGGCGAAGATGTAATTCAACTTTTTGATCTTTCTGTTATTCCCAAGAACCATACCTCGGGTGCTTGTGATGACAGCTCAAGCTCCATTCCCCTAATTCACAGAGGAAGAAGGGACTCATTATTTTCTTTGGGAACTCTCCTGTACCGTATTGCTCACAGACTTTCGCTTTCAGTGGTGTGGAACAATTATAACTATTTTGTTTGGTTTCACCTTGAAGCTTCTGACTTGCCTGCTGCTAATTATTGATGGTTTTGTTTCAGGCAGCTGATAATAGGGCTAAGTGTGCAAGCTTCTTTCTAAAATGTTTGGAATTTCTGGATGAGCCAGATCATCTGGTAGTTGTCTTCTAATTTTATATTTGACTAAGTGTTATACTTATTTTTTATCTATTGTCATATTTGACTGTGGAACATGATAGTGTGATACTGATGATCACTATTATGCTAAATAGGTTGTGCGGGCATCTGCTCATGAACAGTTTGCTAGGCTCATTTTGAATTATGAAGAAGACCTGGAATTAACATCTGAATCTCTGCCTGTCGAATGTGAAATTACAGTTAATGATGCTAATGAAGAATCCACAGACCCAATTAGTAGTTTTTCTGAACCTGTTGTTCTTGAAATGGACTCGATAGTTGTGGATGGAGAATTGAGTGAAGATGGAATGGCTTTGCAAGGTTTGGTGTCAGAAGCTTCTGTAAAGAGGACTTTGGAAGCAAATGTGTCTGCTACCAGGAAATTGATAGAATCTGGTGACTTGGAGTTGAGAGATCAAGAAAGAGACTTGTCAAGTTCTAGCAGTGATGAAGCTTCTGTAGTGTGTGCAATGCCTCCAGCGTCAACAAATGTGTTCCAAACTGTAGCTGATCCGATCTCCTCCAAGTTAGCTGCAGTACATCATGTTTCACAAGCCATTAAGTCTCTCAGATGGATGCGTAAACTACAGAGCTCTGAACCAGAGATTTTTCTCCAGGGCATGGGAATTGATGATGTGTCTCCACCTCTGGATTTCTCTGTTTGTGCATGTGGTGATGCTGACTGTATTGAAGTCTGTGACATTCGGGAATGGCTCCCAACATCGAAATTGGACCATAAGTTGTGGAAACTTGTTCTTCTGCTTGGAGAATCATATTTGGCGCTTGGACAAGCTCATAGGGAGGATGGGCAATTGCATCAAGCTTTGAAGATTGTAGAATTAGCATGTTCTGTTTATGGTTCCATGCCTCAGCATCTTGAGGACACAAAATTTATTTCCTCAATGACTAAAAGCTTGTTACCGCAAATAGCATTCAATGATAGAAGTAAAAGGACTAGATCTTTTGTTGGTGATTTGAAAGAAATGAAATCAAGTGCCAATGATGATCGTCTTACTTTTGAGCAATTATCATGCACATATCTCTTCTGGGCTAAGGCTTGGACACTAGTTGGAGATGTTTATGTTGAATTCCATAGGATAAAGGGTACAGAGATATCAATACAAGCAGAGAGCAAAACTTCTACCAGGGAGTTAAGAATGTCTTCGGAGGTAGTCAAAGAAGTCCAAAGGCTGAAGAGAAAGCTGGGTCAGTATAACCAGAACTGCAGTTCATGTTCCTTGGTAAATTGCAGCTGCCAGAGTGATAGGGCCAGCAGTGGAAGCAGCGCGAGTAGTAGCAGTGGAGATAAACGGTCAGTTGCATATGGCAGAAAACACAGTAAGAGATCATATGTTAAGAATGCTACATACTCACTTTTGGAAGAGCCTAAAGATGCTTGTGGTAATCAAAAGGATGAGATTGGAAAGAGTTCTGATAACAGAAATTTTCAACTCAACAAAGGTGGTGATGCACTAGTGGGAGCAGAAGAGTCATTGGAAACATGTAATGTGGAGTTCACAGTGCCTGCACGAGCTGAAATTGCTTTGAGAGAAGCTCCAAAAGCGAAGAATGGTGGGATATTTAAATACCTTGAGGGTCCTATCGCCGGAGATGTAGAACACAATCTCTCAGCTGCACTAAGTTGTTATGAAGAAGCTAGGAAGGCATTGGGTGGACTTCCTACTGTTTCAGAAGAACTGCAATCTGTTCTGAAAAAGAAAGGGTGGGTTTGGAACGAACTAGGTCGAATCAGGCTTGAAAGGAAAGAATTGGACAAAGCTGAACATGCTTTTGCTGAGTCTATAAATGTGTTTAGAGACGTTTCTGACCACACCAACATTATTTTGATTAACTGTAACTTGGCTCATGGCAGACGAGCATTGGCTGAAGAGATGGTATCAAAGGTTGAAGGTTACAAAATACATACAATCTTCCGTAATGCATACAAACAATCACTGGAGACTGCAAAATTGGAATACAGTGAATCACTCAGATATTATGGGGCAGCAAAGTCGCATCTGAATACTATTGTGGAAGATGCTAGTTCAGTGTCAGACAGCTTGAGGAATGAAGTGTATACACAGTTTGCTCATACCTATTTGAGGCTTGGCATGCTTTTGGCGAGAGAAGATACAACTGCTGAAGTTTATGAAAATAGAGCCTTGAAACAGCCAGATGTTCCTTCTGATAGAAGATCTAGGAAAGAATTGAGGAAGCATGAGATATCAGCCAATGATGCAATTAGAGTGGCACTATCTGTGTATGAATCAATGGGAGATTTACGCAAACAAGAGGCTGCATATGCCTATTTTCAACTTGCTTGCTACCAAAGGGATTGCTGTTTGAAGTTTTTGGAATCAGATCATGAGAAAAACAACTTGCCTAAAGGGGAAAATAGCATTGGCCAGAGGGTAAAGCAATATGCTTCCCTGGCTGAGAGAAACTGGCAGAAAGCTATGGACTTTTATGGTCCCACGACACATTCCACCATGTACCTCACTATTCTAATAGAGAGATCAGCTCTTTCATTCAGTCTTTCCTGCTCTTTTCATTCAAATGCAGTATGTTCTAAACTTCTTTGTTTCATAGTACTATAGTAGTCTTTATTCATATCTTATCCACATCTGTTTTGTTGCATCCAAATTTTGAATTCTTTAAACTAATATTAGTTCTGTAAAATGTTGCTACAATGCTTGTGCATTTTAACATGGAAATCTTCTAGGAGCCTCTAAAACTGAGTATTTTCCTTGCTGTTGGAATGTTTTAGTATTAGGCTCATTGAGTTCCAACTTACATATCCATCATAAAAAATAAGTCTAGATCTAACCATTTTATTGTTCGTAAATTTGGGGATATAAACTCGACTTTCTGCTTGTACAAAATCTTTTTTTTGTGGCGAAAGCACTTACACATAACCAAGATTTACTATGCTGCATTATTTGCCTTCTTCGATGGTTGATTCTGATAATTATATATATATTTTTTTCCTTCAGATGCTGGAATCATCACTATCTCGCCTACTTGAAGGACGACATCTATCTGAAAGCTTTTCTAAATCTTTGTCAACTGACTATCCTGAGATATACACCAAATTCTGGAATCAGATGCAAATGCTTTTGAGAAAAATGTTAGCGATGTCACTTCCTGCTAGTTCAAACAAATCTTCTCCCACTACCCAGCCAAATCCATCCACTCAGTCTGGGGACGCTGGAAAGCTCAGGGAGCTTTACAAAATGTCGTTGAAGTCCACTGATGTGCATGGATTACATGCTATGTATTCCTTGTGGACATCATGATCAGAAAATCACCTTTAGATTATTAAACTATTCTTTCATCTGAATATAGAAACTTTACATGGTTGCTATAGTTAAATATACCTGTATATACTTTGAGGGTACTGATCTTGGAAGTTTTTGCAAGTAAAATTTTTCACTCTTCATTTATGTTTGTTGTGGTAGACTTCAGGAGAACTTACACCCAGTGAGCCCTCCTCTTTTCGAGGCACTGAGGCCATACGGTACGCCCGTATTCGTTCAATATTAATTCTGTTCTTGACTGGTTGAAAGCTTCATTTGATCTCGCTTATAAGTTAATACAGTTATATATAGTTGATTGCCTTCAAAATTACTTTCTCCTCTCGTGTAAGCTTCCATATTGGTCCTAGGGTGATTCACTTTACCAGTGTTTCTCCTTGAAGTGGAAATGTTGACAGATTTTAAATAAAATTGTGGATTGCTTGTTATATGGTGAAAAGAATAAGCATATAAAATGCAGAAAGTTGATGACTGACTAGAACTTTGCCCAGAACAGTGACAGTAATAAGAAGGTGACAGTTTTGCTTTGGTTTGTTTCAAGTAACTGGGCTTGTTTGATATGATAATTCATAATTTTATGATTTGAAAGTAATTTTCAAAAATCAAAATATAATTAAAAATCCGAGTTGTTTCTAAATATTTTCTGAGTAAATTCAAAAGCTGTTTTCGAAGTTTTGAAATTGAGAAACTGAATTTTTTTCATTTCATGATAAACATGATTTTACCATTATATTATTTTTGCTTTGGTTTGGTTATGGAGTTTTCTAAAATTCCCCTTCATTATCTGAAATTGAAAATATCCTTATGAGGTTTTGCGAATATACAAAAATCCCCTGCCTAACAGAATAAGGTTAGAAATGGGCAAATCAGAGATTTAAATATAACAAGAATGATAATGGGAAAAAAAAAATGTATTTTTCTAAAGATAAATAATAATAAAAATGAGTTGAATAAATTGAAATAAAATTTACGATTATTATGTGTTATCCTTATAAAAATCAATGATCACTTCAGGGTATGAAAAATAATTAATCAATTTACTTTAAATTGTTTTTTCTTGTTTATTAAATATTTCAATGTAGTAAATTTTGCCCAAACACTAAATATTAAAAGCTTTCTTAATTATTTATTTATTTATGTAAGTACATTTATAACCATTGTTTAAATATTATTCCTTATCATGCATATTATGTATTGTGGACAAAAACAATAAAGATAATGGTTTTTATTGAAGAAGAAAATAGAAATAGAAAGAAAATTTATTGTAACGTTATAGTTTTGATTTTTTAGAGTGAGGGCCAAAAGGAATTAAGATTTTTGTGTCTAAAGAATTTAAAAAAAAAAAAAAAAAACATTCACCACCTCTAAGTTTGGAAATAACAAGGGAGAGTGACTATTGCCTTTTTATCATAGTTCAATTCTAAAAATTGATCAATTACCACACTTAATTCTAATTCTTTTACAATATACAATCAACAAATGTTTTAAAGTTAAAAGACAATAATACCCCCATTATGTTCATTTATGTTCTTAAGCATCAATTTAACAATTGAATAACATTTAATCATTCTTAAATCATGTCAATACAATCAACCATGAGAGTGTATATTAAGATAAGTAAAACGCACTTGTTTTTAACTTTACAAGTTATATTACAATAAAGAATATAAAACTTTTTTTTTTTTTGTTTTTTTGAAAATGTGTTATTCACTATCATTTAAGTTTTTAAAAAGACAATATTACCCCTAGCCCGAAGTCGGTCGAGGGCTAAAAAAAATATTATCCCATTTGTATCCTTCCTTTTAAAATCTATCCAAAAGACAAAAATAGCCTCGGAGGAGCAGGCCAAGCCAACCGCTAGGATCAAATTCCGGAGACTCCAAACAAACATTTTCCTTGACTTGGTGGTTAAGTAAATAAATATTTAACTCAACGAGTCGATTGCTTAAAAAGAGACCTCTATAAAAGAGATAAGAAAAAGCTCTTATGGAGGGAAACTTCATCAAAAATCGCTTTTCGCCTTCGATTCTCATCTCTCTCGTCTCGTTGATTTTGATATTTCAAATGGCTAAATCCTCTGCCTCAGCCTCCGCCGAACCCGAGGTTCAGATCGTCTACATGGAGCGCCCCAAGGACGTCGATCCTGAGGCCTATGATATTCAAGTCCTCTCCTCTGTTCTCGGCAGGTAACTGAATTTTCTTTTCTTTTCTTTTCTTTTTTTAATTTCTGAATGCGGAATATACGAGATTTTGTTTTTGGTTTTGTTGAATTTTGAGAATTTTGAAATGTTTTTGTGCAGTGAGGAAGCGGCAAAGCAGGCGTTGTTGTACAGTTACAAGACGGCTGCCAGTGGATTTTCGGCTAGTCTGACGCCGAAGCAGGTTGAGGATATCAAAAGTAAGTAATTAATTTTGAAATTCGTAAAATTTTTGTAAGCATCTTTAAATTTTATAAAAATTTGTTGGAAAACTCTGGATAGAGGTTTATGAAATTATCAATTGATTATAGTTATTTCTGAAATTGAAACCTTTTATTGGCAGGTTAGATTATTTAATTCTAATTTTTGAATGGGATTGATTTTTCTTGATAACAATGTTTTGTTGAGCCTACTTACCAAAACCAAAACCAAAAAAAAAAAAAAAAAAAAAGTCTTTTGTTGAGCCTTATACGAAAACTGATAAATATGTACCTACTGCTCCTAATTATTGGGGAGATAATTTATTTTATTCTTTTGAAGCCATATTATTGTGAGAAATGAATGTACTGTTGGACAGGGTACAATAGATAATCATTTTTTAAGAGTAAAAATCTTTAGGTGTTACTTCTCTTGATGTGTTGGTGATGCCCTGACATGAGTTATTCTCGAATTTTGTTTCTAAATATTTCAAAAATCTACGTCATAATGATAATTTGCACCAGCTCTAATATATTGATTAGATAGGATATTTTGTGATTAGGTTGTTTCTATTAGTACACGCTTTTATCATGTTTGTTTTTGATAATTATTAGAGCTGATGTTAAACAATATTGAACGCTTTTCTTGGTCTAAATCTGATGCTTAAGTTTTAGTCTTCAGATGATATCATATTTAGTGTGGGGGTGCACAAGTGTGAGAATCAATAGTTTATTTCACTATTATGCTTAACTTTTAGACGAGTGTAGACTCCAAAGTGGAGTTTGAAGTTAGGGAAACAGGGACCTAGAAATAAACTGCTCAAAGTTTTTAGTTTTAGGGTGTGTAAGAATATGAAACTTTTGAATGCATATGAATACATTATATACATTTAAAAGCAATGTGGAGCACAGAGACAATGACACAGTAATTATGTCGAAGTAAGGTAAACATTAATGCTTGTGCGCATATCTGCCAGTGTATGCTGGAGTTCTATTTCTTGAAGCCTAACACTTATCTGTGATAAGAAACCTCTGATCTGATGACTGATTCTTTTAAGTTTTGCCTGATAGTTATTGATGTATGCTATTTATATTAAGTTAGTCTTAATATATATAATGAATGTAAAAAGCAAGCTTTCCGTATGATACCAGCAAAGTAATGCCAATCAAGCACTGGTGGAGGAATCATTCTAGGACTCTTACTTTTCTTTTTTTCATTTCTGTGTCTCGAAATTAATCCTTCCAAATTATCAAAATATTATCTCACAATTGAAATTTGTGAAATGTGAGTATGCGTATTATAATACAGAAAATATATTCATTTTGAAAGAAGTTTTCAATGAGATGTGTATAACTTTTTTCGTAAGTTTGTTTTTGGTACCAACTGTCCTTGTTATATATCCTGGCTCTTTGGCTTTTATTCTTGAATTATATCTCCCTTTATATTTTGATTCTTATTTTAGGTGTTATACAAAAGCATTTTCACGTAGATAACTTTTATATGCTCTTTTTATGGCAGAAAAAGAAGGTGTTCTTCATGTTGCTCCAAACAGGACATTGCAGCTGCATGGAGGAGCTGGAAACAAGCGGTTAACCAAGTGAAAATTTCATGTGTCTACTAAGACCATTATCTATCTGAGACGTATCTCACCTTGTATAAACTAGTTTGACTTGTGTGCTTTACTTAAATAATGTTTCAAAATAATGTTTCAAACTGAATAATACATATCCAGATTTCTATTATACAAATATATTTTGCTCTGTTGTTTTGTATGGTATTTTCTTTTGCAAAATCCAAGTTCAAAAGTCTTGGTATTGAGCAAAATCTGTCGACATAATATGCATATTCATATTTACATTCAGTTTGTTAAGCTGCTCTCTTGTAATTAATGATTGATATTTTCTGAGGTGAGTTTGAACATTTATTATCAATTCTAGCGCTGAAATTGTATAATTTTCGCTCGCAGCTTTGTGTAGCTTACCATGATGATAAATATATATGTGATATATGATATTGCCGAAGGCATAAAAGATGATTTGGTGTGTTTATTTTTCTCATATCAATTAGTGCAAGAAATATCAGTGACATTGTGGCAAAATATTTTATTCTTATTAAATTCTTGAATAACACTCTTATGAGTGCATGGAAAAGCAGCAAGTGTACTGTCTGGTAAACTTTTATGATTTTATACTGCACAAATAATTCAACTGGAATCAATTGTTAAAAAGTTTTTGTGGGTATTTAGTACTGGATTCACAGTCTGCTTGTTGTTGACAGTGTGGTGAGTTGGCAAAGATGGCTAATATTGGGGTGCAATGAAATCAGCAAATATTCCGATTTGCGTGTGTTAGTTGGCATGCAATATTTGCGGCAATTTTCTGTGGATGGGCAAAAGCAAGAAAGCATATAAATGATTTAATAACGTGAAAAAGGAAGCTCATATGTAGAAATTTGATCTAATTCATACTTATCCAATTTTTAAACATGTAGGCCATATTTGGAATTTGGTACTACTATGTACTAAATAATTTAATACATATGTTTGGTTAGAAATTTGTATTAAATGGATTAGTACTACATCCATATACATTGTACTACACAATATTCCTACTCATCTTTCTGTCATTTTACAAACGAAATTTTAAGGAATTGTCATAAATTCATATTGAAGAAACTCGAACCTGAGCACGGATGAGGTCGAAGTTGAGACATCACAGCCTAGTAATGTTACTACTTAGTTATGAGAATCGTCATCTTTAATTGTATTGAAAAAAAAAAAAAAAAAAATAGTATGATTTAGAAAAATAGATTTCCAACCATGCCTCTTATATTGGTCACATTTATCATAATTCAAAGCGTTGTCTTATTTAACCCTTGAAGCGAAAGAAAATATTAAGGTCTCATTTATCATTATTTAAGATTTGATTAGATTATATTAGATTTGGTTTCATTAGCCACCAAATTATCTTTGGATTAGATTTTAACCCTTCACTGAATTGTTAACATTGGATCCGATTGGTTACTATCGCAATTTATTGGAATAATAAAAAGAAGACAAAAATGTGATGAAATATTTTGCCTAACATATAACCTCTAAAAAAATATTATTTTTGATATTTAATAAAAAATATTTATAATTTTTGTGTCTCTTTTAATATGCTAAGATGTACATTAAAACATATCCTCAAATAGTATTTTTGCACAAAATGGTTATTTATACTTCGTCCTAAGGTTGAAAGTGTAAGAAACTGTCCGCATGATAAATGAAAAGAATGTTATCCCTTACACGAATACATTATCACGTTTATTTAATTTGAAGATCTGAAATCATTTGTTAAATATGTATTCATGTGAATGTGATCCATCGTGCAAGCATGAGAAGGATTGAAACACCCAAAAAGATTTCGTACGCCTTTTCAAATATTTAAGAACCGTAGCTTGATATGAGAAATGTAATTGGACAATAAGTGGGGACCAAATAATACAGGTTTTTATACATTCAATTCAAAGGCTTGTCAAAATCGCTTACATTTATGGATATCGTCCTCTTCTACTAACAAGCTTTAATATTAAATTCTGCTATGTAACATTCATAGATTTCATCATCTGTTAACAAACTTTAATATCTAAGGTGATTGTATTGTATCAATCCTTTTTAATTAACCGAACAAAATTCATTATTCACCTTCATTGAGCTATCTTTACTAATAAATTCATTTTGTATTACGTAAATTATTTAGTACAGTAATACTATATTTACCGATTCAAATACCGATTTTTACGTACCGACCCAACTACCCAACAACCCAAATCTCAAAATTTAACTCAATTCACATGAGTCAGTATATCAAATCTGTAGCTGGGTCGGTAAGCCTAGATTACTGTTATTTAGTATATGTGCTTTATGTTACTTTATCATATAAGTGTAGACTAATCAACCCTTAACTAAAAATCAAATATACAAAATTAATCCAAAATTAGTATTAGTCATCCAGACTTTTAAAATCATAATTGACAACAGTGGGTAAAAATATCTAGCAAATCCCAAAATTGATTTGTAATTTTGTATGGAATGAAGAAGAACAAAAAAACCTAAAAATAAGAGAGAAGAAAAGGACAGTTAATAACGTGGGGTGGAGCCTACTCTATCCTATTCTGAGAAAGAAGAAGAGGACGATCAAAATGGTGATGTGGCAGAGAATCTGAGGGGATACCCACTTGTGCCCCACTATTTTCACCCAATCAACACGTTTTTATTTTCATTATTTTCAACCCTCCATTTCCATTTTCCCCCAAATCAAAATCAAAATCAACAACACAACAGATCCCATTTTCTTTCTTTCTTTCTTTCCTTCAATCTGCATTTTCATTTTCAAAATTTCCCAGATGAAACCCTCACAGTCCTCCTCCACCAAGCCGTCCAACACGGTCCTCCCCTACCAGACGCCGCGTTTGCGGGACCATTACCTCCTCGGGAAGAAGCTTGGGCAGGGTCAATTCGGGACGACCTATTTGTGTATAGACAAAGAAACGAACGACCATTACGCCTGCAAATCGATTCCTAAACGGAAGCTTCTTTGCCGCGAGGATTACGACGATGTGTGGCGGGAAATTCAGATCATGCACCACTTGTCGGAACACCCAAACGTGGTGCGGATCAAGGGGACGTATGAGGACTCCGTGTTTGTGCACTTGGTGATGGAGCTGTGCGCTGGCGGGGAGCTGTTTGATAGAATTGTGGCGAAGGGGCAATACAGTGAGAGGGAGGCGACGAAGTTGATTAAGACCATTGTGGCTGTTGTGGAGGCGTGTCATTCGCTTGGGGTTATGCATAGAGATCTTAAGCCTGAGAATTTCTTGTTTGATACTCCCGGGGATGATGCCAAGCTTAAAGCTACGGACTTTGGATTGTCTGTGTTTTATAAGCCAGGTTGGTTGGTGGGTTTGTTTGATTGGGTTGTTTTGATTTGAGATTTTGTTTGGTTTTTGTTGATTATTGGTCATTTCAGGTGAGAGGTTGCTTTCATTTTGTATATTTACGTTTTCTTTGATAGATTTTTTAATTGATCACTGGGTTCTTTTGGATTTTGTGAGAACTGTGGTGGATTGCTTTGAGTTTTCTGTTTTTGGTTACTCGAGATATATTTGTTACCTTTGATTTGTTTTGGTGTTTCATTGTCTCTTTGTTTGTTTTGATCATTTTTGTTGACTGTTTCTTCAACAAAAAGTGTTTGTGATTAAAGATCTATCTCATGTATATTAGTTAAGAACAAATTAGATGTAATTGAATAATGCTGATTGTAATCTTTGAAATCATAGTTAAATATAATTCCTTCCTTTTCTTATGAAAATAGGGAATGTGAGAAATTTTAAGAAAACATGTTTAACAGTTTTTGGGTAAAATTATAAAATCTAATGTGAAATTTGAACATGAAAAGAAGTCGTTTCTTTTATTGTAGAAAACAAATTTTGGATGTTATATCTAACACATTTGTTATATTAAAAATATTAAGATCCAACCTATTTATTGGATTCTAATTTGGTTTTTGGAAATTCTTTCTGAATTGCACACCAAACGGGCTAGTTATTCATTTATCTACACGAGATTTGTTCCAAATTTCTTGTTATAAATTTTTTTCATGTTTCTTGGTTTGTATAGTTGGAATAGTTTTTTGGGCAAAAGTGAGATATCAGAAAGGCTAACTCATGAACTATTGTTTTGTTTCCAGAAGACTTTAAAATTTCTCTTCAATCCTTGATGGATAATCCTTCATGTTTATATAAATGCTTTTCTTCTTCATGCTTATTAAAGAAAAAAGAAAGAAAGACAAACAACTAATTGTTTCTGTGTTCTCTTTAATTGAAGAGAGTGAATCAGGTTTTCTAGACTCAAAGTGAAGCTCTAGTACCCTGGAGGTTGGGTTATGCTTATGCCTCAAAACTGTTAGCTTTATGGCATGCCTCAAGGGAGGAAAAGCAGTTCCACCTCTGCATTTGATGTACAAAGAACAATTAACTAATTTCCCTTATTAAAATTTAAAATTGTTCCAAGCCTCCAACATTTATATTTCTGGTTACAACATGCATCTTTTTGTCACCTAGTATTGCATTGGTTTTTATTTGCTGATATCATTTTATAACCAGTGGTGATTTGGCAACACCATGATGATGCCAAAACAAAAGATTATCAATCGCTCGACTGACTAGAAAAATTTAAATTTGTTTTCAATTTGTTATTTTAGGAATTCTATAAGCTTTTTCAGAAGATGGCTTGCCTCACACCTTTATGTTTGCTAATCTTCTTGGTATGGTGGTATTCATAAAATGTGATTTCTTGGCTACTTTTTTTTTTCCCCCTCCAGGACAAGCTTTGTCTGATGTGGTTGGAAGTCCCTATTATGTGGCACCTGAAGTTTTGCTTAAGCATTATGGTCCTGAAATAGATGTATGGAGTGCTGGTGTTATCCTTTACATCTTATTAAGTGGAGTTCCTCCTTTTTGGGCGGGTAACTAGCGAGATGAGCAAATTCTCTTATTCTCAGAAGTTACATTTTTGCAGCTCTTATCTTTCACCTTTTTGTTTATTCTTGTGTTCTCTTAACGATATGTCTATGTTCTTTCTCCAATATTTGCAGAAACTGAATCAGGAATCTTCAAACAGATCTTGCAAGGCAAACTAGATTTTCATTCTGATCCATGGCCTAACATATCAGACAGTGCCAAAGATTTGATTAAAAAGATGCTTGAGAGGGATCCAAGGAAAAGAATTACTGCTCATGAAGTGCTATGTTAGTCATCTGATTTTTATTATACCAGGAAAACTATTATGTGCTTGTGGGGCTGTGGTATACCTTGTGATAGCTATGGCTAGCTCTTTTGTCTGCACAAATCTTAAAAAGGGGTTTGTTTTATGTTTCAGGTCACCCCTGGATTGTGGATGACAAAGTTGCTCCTGATAAACCATTGGATTCTGCAGTTTTGTCACGCTTGAAGCACTTCTCAGCAATGAATAAACTGAAAAAGATGGCTCTGCGTGTATGTTATATTAACAATTTTTTCATTTTTTTTTTCTCTTAATCGCTCATGGATTTCGATGATCATCTAGAGGTTTGCAACAGTAATCTGATAGTCAGACTATTGTTTGAGTTGTCAACTGAATGGGATTTAAAACGTTTTATTATGTTGTTTTAGGATTTATTGACATACTGTTAGAAGGTGAGAGAACTTTCTTTGAAATTAGTCCTGGTAAGGAATGGGTGGACTTCATGATATAGGTAAATGATGACATGAATTATACCTGACACAAGTAGTCTTTCACATGTTTTTGGAGTAAAAATAATTGTGGCATTGGGGTTATTTAATTTTGACTCTAAAGGTGATTTTGAATAAAAGTATTTATAATAGATTAATGATGATGCTGCACATAAACATGTTGATATTCGCAAAACTTAAATGTAGGTTCAGTGACTGAATGATTAAAGTTAAGGACAAAGATTACCTAATAAAGGATGCAAAAATGCATCTCGCACAGCCAGAGATTAATTTCCGAATTAAGAATGGCACTGTCACCATATTTATTGAGAAATTTGGTATGTTGATTATTAGCATCATTTTTGTGGTCTCAAATTTTCATTGTCTCTTAACCCAATGATGTGTTGAATGGTTAAAATCTTTGATTTCTATTTAAAGGTCACGGGTTTAATCCTCGAGAGGCCTCTTGGGATGTTATATCCACAAATTTCTTGATTACCAAGGTTGTAGGTTCTGACTGTAATTTAGAACTTGGTGAACTTATTATACTGGTTGGTAGAATTCTAGGTACCAAAAATAAATCTTGTTCTCTTTATTTTTTTCATTTGGATTTTCCTTGTGATGTAGAATTTATTTTAAAGTTGTATGGTCTTTTAAGAATTTTTTAGCATATTATATGCCAAGAGTCTACTATTTATCAGTTAACATTATATTCCAAAGAGTCTTAACTCTTAGAATCTAAGTGGGCATGCATCGTCAAGATATTTGGTTGTTCTTAGATACATGTGGTATTGAAGGCAGTTGTTGTGCTCAGTTGAAAGTCTCTTTTTTGACAAGTTGTCAGTTCTTTCAATTGCTATTGGTTTGCACTACAAGTTTCTTAATAAAATTAGCTTAATTTTTTTTATAAATGGGTTTTTCTGTTGTTGTGATGGGCAATTTTATATTTTTTATCTGTGGTTATATGAATTGTTCATTCATTTCTGGTGCTGGAAAAATACTTTGCAGGTCATAGCAGAAAGACTTTCTGAGGAAGAAATTGGTGGTCTGAAAGAGTTGTTCAAAATGATTGACACAGACAACAGTGGGACAATAACACTTGAGGAACTTAAGGCTGGTTTGAAAAGAGTGGGATCTCAACTGATGGAATCTGAAATTAAGACTCTTATGGAAGCGGTAAATATATCTTCATAAACTGTCTCTAAAAGAAAATGGTAGTTTTACTTTTTCCTGATAGTCTGATTGTAATTCTCTCTTATGTTACTTATGACATCACCACATTGGATTCATTAAAACATCTTGTAAGTGTAACTTTGGCAGGCTGATATTGACAACAATGGAACACTAGAATATGGTGAATTTATTGCTGCTACCTTGCACTTAAATAAGATGGAGAGAGAAGAGAATTTAATTGCAGCTTTCTCCTTTTTTGACAAAGATGGGAGTGGTTACATAACTGTTGATGAGCTTCAACAGGCTTGCAAAGAGTTTGGTCTTGGTGATGTTCATCTGGATGAAATAGTCAAAGAAATTGATCAAGACAACGTAAGTATTTATATGTACATTAGCCTTCAATAAGTATAGTTTACTACTTGACATTTGCTTTGCCTCCAGTCTGTTGTTTTCTTCTCATTTTAGCTTGGACTATATTTTTACCCATTGATTAAGTTGAGCCGTATAAAATTGTTAGTAAGGGAATTTTGGTGGAATGTAAATTATAATTTAGGTTTAGTATTGTATACGGGAATGAATTGTCGCAGCAACCCATCTTGTACGTATTGTAACTTCTTACAGCCAGAAAGAAATAGGTTTTCTGTGTCAGCTGCTGATTATTAGGTGAATAACAGCTGCTTAAAAGCCAAATCATCCACTGATAAACTGCTGAGGTAAGAGGGCTAGCATGGAATGGTTTTACAATCATTGATAGGATTAGATCCTCTTATGGAAGGTTATCACATAGTTCAGGAATATTTAACTGGGAGATATCTTTTCTCTATTAAAGTTTTGTGACTGTACTTAAATCATTTTGGTTCCTGAGATTGTTTTACTTGTGCAATATGTTTTGGTAGCAGTTGTAAGTCTTCAAAAAATAGCTCTTTGTTCTTGGATGGATGGTTATATCCTTAAAGATACATGAAGAAAAGAAAATTCTAATCAACAGTCATTTTACTGTCCACCATTTTCTATTCTAATGGTTTTATATGTTTATAAACTATTGGGTTGATAAATCAGGGTTCGGTTTGTGTGTTCCCAATAGGATCTCTATTGGAAGTTGTGACATCATTACTTTTAGTTTCTGATTTTGAAGAAAATATTTAGTAATAAAATTAAAATTTGCAGTGAGATGGCTCTTTTACTTGTATGTATTTTTAAGAATTTGTTTGTGCTGATTTTGTTTGCACTTGTTTACTATGGGTAACTTCAATGCATCATTATGTTCTTGCTTGGAGTGTTTCTGCACAAATTTGGATTTTTACTAGTTTGGTCAAATTTTAGCAATATTTCTTTTACTGGTATCATAATTTACATGTTTGAAGGGATGATATCATCTTAATTGACACTATAAATTTTGGGTTCATCTTGTGCAAGTAATTCTTTTCTTGACTAATAGCAATTTCCAGTTCTTCAATTTGTTTCCATTACTCCATACACATCCATGGAATCCATAAATTATTTTTGTTTCTGTTTTAAGCTAACCCTGTTGCAGTTCTGTAGAAATTGAGTCATTTTTTGGCCTATTAATTAATTTTTCCCTTTCTAACTTCAAGGGGTTGGGTTGAGTGGTTAAGGCCTTTGGTTTTAAGCAAGAGATTAGGGATTCAACTCTTCTCTGGACCACCTACTTATGATATTAGGTCACTATTTCTTAACTACCAATGGTTATAAAGTCTGGTTGTGGTTTAAGAACTTGTGAACATGTAAGAAAGGATGAGAGATTTTGGGTTTCCTTTTTGTTCTTTTTGCTATACTCAATCTGAGCCGCATAGGTGGCCTTAAAGCTCAGTATGGAAAAAAAAAAAAAGGTTAAGGTCCAAGTAATACAATGCCTGCATAATTCCCAGTTAATGCGGATGGACTATGGAGGTATGTTAGGTGACAGATGCAACATGAGACTTGATAATCGGTGTCCTTATTCTCAATTTTTTTAATAACATTTTTTGTTAAGCATTGAAGTAGAGTGTGTCAAAGGGGTATTGCAGTTGATTTAGTTGTTTCTAGCATATAGCAAATATTAAGGGGCTTTTATGGGTAAGTTTGTTTAGATGAATACTTTATACTCATTGTTAGATAGAGAAGATAGTACAGTCGATCTTATTTCTTGGCCTACTTTCCCCAACTTGGCTTCTTTTTTTGAAGTAGGATTATTAATGTGAACACCATTTATATTGTATCCCACAAATTTTCTTACTATCAAGGTTGTAGCCTCGAGGGTTTGGTAATAGTCTCTATTTTGGAGCCTGATGATCTTGTGAGAAAGATTGGAGGATTTTTTGAGTAATCTCATTTTAGCCTTCAATTTTATTATTTATACTTCTAGCTTACAAAACAAAATTTTATACCAAACCTCAGTGTTTTAGTTTTAGCCAGCACAACATAGATGATCGTGAATCACATGGTGGCTGCTACCACTTTATGGGCCAGAACAAGTAGCAAATAGTAGTGTCAATTGTAATGTTAGGAAGATAAAGTTAGTTTTGGTTATCAATGGTTCTGCTTGTGATGTATTTGCTTTCTATCGACCCTTGAAACACTGATCTTGCGGTATTTAACATGCTTGATTCTTTGTTTAGCATAACAAACTTGGGTTTACATTGAGCTACTGAATTGGTAGTAATTAGTGTAAACTATATTGATTAGGGCTTCCTCCATCTTCCTCTCCAGGAATTACTTGCTGACCTTTTTTTCCAGTATACAACTCCTAACTTTATTGCTGACCGCATTCTTATTACAGGACGGGAGAATAGATTATGCTGAGTTTGCCGCAATGATGAGAAAGGGCGATAGCGAAGTCGGGAGAAGCAGAACTATGAGAAACAATTTGAACTTCAATCTAGCCGACGCCTTTGGAGTAAATGAACCAACGACAGTAAAGGAATCAACAACTGAAGCTACTGACTGAGAGCATATCTTTCATATAGTCAGGGAACGCGCTACTACCCGAAAAAAAAAAAAAAAAAAAAATAGTTGCAACTGGTAAATCTTTAAGCTCTTACTGATACATTAATCTTTTTTGCTTTGGTTGGAAGGTATGTCTACTCTTTTGTTTCATAGTTTTGATGATGAGGATAAATTTTGCATTGATAATTGCTGCTCAGACAAGAGTGACATCTCTCATCTTTTACTCAAAAGAGGTTTTTCCGTTTCTGATGAAGAACCAGTGTTAGAGTGATTGAAACAAAAGAAGTTGATCCATCTAATGTAATAAATGTTGTCATTGTCATTGTAGATATCAATTTCTATGGATTTTGTCACCATGAGGTCTTTTCTAATTTTCTGTCAATTGTTGTTTCTTTTTCTCGGTTATCAATTCAATTTGAATCCATTTATTAAGGGCCTTTAGGCCATTGTTTACGTTTATATTCTCTAATTTATCTTCAAAAATATGTGCTATTTGTTTGTTTAACGTTTATGGGTTTTCCAAAAAAGAAAAAAAATACTATAGTATAATTAAAAACCTGAAAAAAAAAAAATGTATTTTCACTACTTTACCAACATATATTTAAATTTTCAGAACATAATCAAAATTTTAAGTTCATTTTTAGAGAAAAGAAAAAACATTGAATGTTAAATAATAAAGCATATTAATAATTTATTCTAAATTAATAGTATATGAATGATTAATTAAATAGAGTACATTGGAGAATCTTACAACTAATTAATCTCTTAAAAAAAATACTATTAAAATTTCAATTTATTAACTAGAAATATATGAACATGGCTGAAAGAACACAGAATTTAGACTAACAATTTTTATCCTGTAAAACACAATATTTATTAAACAATCAAAGTACCCTTAATAATTAAATAATTAATTTAGAGTTTTATTTTAATAATTTCAGTGAATAAATTAAAAAAACAACTTTTTTTTTCAATAAATGAGTCCTTAAAAAAATATTGAGATTGAAATGCAAGGGCAAATCAGTCACTTCACAAGAAATAAGAACACAAAGATGATAGATAGGATAAGTCTCTCGGTTACAATTTACAAGAGAGGAGCTCAGAGCTCACACACTAGAACTCACTTCATTAACAATGGCAGCTTCTTCATCTTCAACAGCAACTCTTGCTCTCTGTTCTTCCTTCTCATCGCACTGCAAAATCTCTAAAATTTCACCCTCTTCTCCTCCTCTTCTTTCATTTTCTAAACCAAAACTCCCCTCTTCTCTTCTTTTCTCAACTTCAAGACCTCCCGCATTCTCTTTCACTCCCAAATACTCTGCCTCTGAAGCTCCCGCCGTTTTGGACTCCGAACCCGAATCGCCTCCCAAACCCGCTCCTGTTTTGGAAGCGGCACCCGAGGAAGAGAAGCCCAAGCGTGAAGAAATCTTTGCTGTTGTTATGGTCAGTAAAATTTTGTATCTTTGTGCTGAAAACTTTAATAAAGTTTCGATTTTGTGCTCTGTGAATTATACCCAGATCCTTGTTTTGACAAGTTTTGTTGTTTTTGTGCTTTTTCTGTCATATTTTTATTATTTTTTATTTTTTGCCCAGATGAGTAACTTGTCTAAATTATAGCAATGTGTTATCCTTTTTGCTTATATAATTTATGCTATAACCATAAAAAAGATACTATTTTGTGCTCTTTGAATTATACCCAGATGCTTGTTTTCATAGTTTTTCATGTTTTTGTTGTTTAATTGTCTAATGATAACAATGTGTTATCCTTTTTGTTTATATGCTTTATGCTATAACCTGATTAACATCTCTCTCTCTCTCTCTCTCTCTCTCTCTCTCTCTCTCTCTCTCTATATATATATATATATATATATATATATATTGTGCTATTTTTGTACTACAAATGCTTGACTTGATAGTTTTTTCATGTTTTTGTGCTTATTCAGTTATGTTTTTGTTGTTTGTTTACTCAGATGGGTAACTTGTCTAAATGGTAACGATGTCTAATCCTTTTTGTACTGTGACTTAGAATATATTCTGGGCATTCATTTAATTAACTTTCTAGTTAGACATATGAATATTAAGGTTGTTGATTAGGTGTTTGGAGTAATTTTCGGTTCCCTGTTGGCATTTTGTTTTATTGTAGTTTGTGTTTATAGATTTATCTGGTGGTTATTCAGTTCATATGTTTGATTGTTATTTGTGATATAGTGGAAATTTGTGATTACCACGTTGAATTTTTTTTTTTTTTTCTTTTTTTTTTTAATTTTTAAAAGCCTGGTTTTGGCGTTACTCAATTGTTCTTGAGATTTCCATTTATGCTTTTGGAGTATTAGCGTGTTCACCTCCATGAAAGGTTTTTCTTTTCCTAATATTTTTAGTGTTACATAGAGTAAAATATTTTGGTTTCTTGTATGATAGTTACTTTGGTTGCTGGTGCTTTTCTGATATGATTGTTTAAGGTTATTCATGTTTTATGATTTGTATTTTTGGACTGACCATGTCTTATGAATTGGGTGCTTTTATTTTGGGTTTATATAGATTGGATCACGCCAATATATTGTTTTCCCTGGACGATATATCTATACTCAGAGGCTAAAAGGTGCAAATGTCAATGATAAGGTATGTCTTCTGTTTTTTTCCTTTTGTTCTGTAATCCTAGCACATACTTAGAGGCTTATATGGCAAAAGGAACTAGCACATAACTGCTGATTCTATGTTTTTTGATTGGTCATGTTATACATTGATGTCATGCTAGAATCTTGCACGTTTCAAGTAATAACAGCAGAAAAACCATTGGGACAAATGGAAAGGGAAATCATAATGATATCTAGGCTCTCTGTTACTGTTAAGAAACTGTGCTGTACAGTCTTCAAGATCTGTTGGATTACTGTTCCACCTGTACTCATGGGATTTTACGGGGCTTTGCAGTCCTGGATTCAAAAGAGATCGGTGGGTTGTTTTCTTGAATTTATTAGCTGTTAATGGCGATTTTCTGCAGGTTAGGTGATGTTCCACTTGTAAAGTTGATAAAGTTTTTGGTGAGCCCCATTGTTTGGTATTAGGCATTAGGCCTTTGTGAGGGCGTTCTTCCCCCTATGCAACGGGGAATGCTGGTAACACCAATTTATTTCTGTCCTCTGCATAGATGTCAATGTTCACAAACTTTAACCAGTCATATCTGTTGGCTACTTGACCCCTTGTTTTTTGTTCTACTTTTTATTTTTTTCTTTTGAGTCAAGATCCCTTGTAAAGTTTTTTGCTTGTAAATTTATTTGGACTTCCTCAGGTATTTCCTAGTAAAACATTTTCTATCTTCCAAGGAAGAAAAGTTAAGTGGTTCTCTTGTTTCCTCTAATTTCTTTCTAATTGAGTCTCTAGCAGTGTACAACTTGCGAAGTCCAGCAGCATGGTTTACCATATAGCAAGCAACCAAAGATTCTTGCAATTTTTAGCAGCAATACTAGATGCATCACTTGTTAGTTGGGTTTAGTTGTTAGTGTGGCTTGTTTTACTATTTGAACATCTTTGCCTAAACTTTTAGGTTAGATTTCCTACCATGGTACTTAGAACTGTTTGTGCTGATTTTTTCTTAATGTATATGTTTGGTTTCTGTGGCTGTTTATGTTTAGACATCATGTTTTAAGCCCTTCTGTTCTTGTCCCCACATGAGAACATATCAAGAAGTGTTTTAGGAGAAAGGTGGAGTGGAATATGAAGCTGATGGAAGTTCCCTTTCCATTGATTTGTACGAGTTTGATTACGAGTATTCAGTTTGGATTTGGGAGAGCTATCAAATAAAGTTTTTACTACATAATAGTTTCATACTGGTTTTTCATTGTTCGAAAATGACTAAAGGGTATTTTAATTTATTTGAGTTTATCGAAGGTCTAAGGTGGTCTGCAGTATGACTGCCTTGCTGCCCCAAGACTTTGCATCTTCTACTTGTAATTTTAGCATTGCCTCTGATTTTCTCCTTGTATAAATATTTCTATTTTTACTAAGATGTTTAAGTTTTGTTCTTGTGCAGATTGTTTTGAGCAAGGTGTTGCTTGTGGGAACAAAAACAACTACCTATATTGGAAAACCAGTTGTGACTAATGCTGCTGTGCATGCAGTAGTTGAAGAGCAGGTAGTTCACTTCCTTCTTACACCAGATATTTTGTGCTAAACTATCATTCTTCTTGTTATTTTTCTCTTTTGTCATCTTATCAATATAGTTTTGCCTTCTGCTTCCCTTGTGTTTATGATGCAGGGATTAAATCCTAAAGTAATTGTCTTCAAGTATAAGAAGAAGAAGAACTATCGGAGAAATATTGGTCATCGACAGGTATTATAAAATTCCTTTTATCATTCATTCGTAAAGTACCGATACAATAGGTTCATTGCATCAATCCAAATATGGTAGCATCTTATATTATTTACTGGATCTATTATAGTATTTTTTAACTAATGAAAGGAGGAAAATATATTATTTACCGGATCTATTATAGTATTTTTTTAACTAATGAAAGGAGGAAAATAAACATGTAAATGCTTCGTAGTAACTTTCGTGGAGTGTCGTTGGTAGTTGCAACATAAGCCGCCCAATGTTTGTAATTCCACTGCAGTAATCCTCCACAAATAGGAGAAAATATGCCAAGTCTTACGATAAGGATTAAATTTATACTCGCTTTTTTATAATATGTTCTTTCCTTAAAATTCTTTTATGTGATTATGATCCAATAATGCAGCCGAATACACGAATAAGGATTACTGGTATCACAGGCTATGAAGACTATCCAGCAGTTACACTTGACTCACTTCAGTCGTAAACACTTCTTGGAGGGGGTTTAGTTGTTGCTAAAACCTCTGTGAATCGAAAAGCTTTGATTTTGTATGTAATTACCTTGCAAGTTAAATGTTTCTATTGATTTATAGACTCTTAACAATGAGTTATGGAGATTCTTTTTTGTCAAAAAGAGTTGTGAAATGTAGAATGCCATCTCCAAATGGTCTTTGATAAATGTTCGTTTCTTCTTTAATTTCTACAATTCTCATTTTCTTAATAGTTCCTTTTTCTTTTTATCAGTTTGTCTACCTTATGTGGTAGAATAGTCTTGGAGATGCCACATTTGAAAAAATTGCACCTCTACAGCTGCTTTTGGGTTTAGCTCTTCTTGGTAAAATTGCGAATAAAAACATTTATCAGAGAAGAAACACTCTTTAAAAAAGTTGCAATATGGTAATGCCATGTTGATACTCAACATTGAAAGCTCTTTTGACAATTGTTGAGTATGAAAATTTCCCACATCGACATTTTGGTGATGCACAACATTCATATAAAAAGAGGAAAAGAAGATAGGAAAAAATATCTGATAACAACTTCATAATTCATATTATATATCAAATGGAAACTTTTCAGCATCTTATACTTTTTAACACACATTTTCCTGCAATTTGCGCCTATGGCCCAACTCATGGATCAGTTAGAACAGAATGAGAATCTGAATAAATTGGGTACAAAGCTGTTACAGCTGAGTACTACATTCCTACAGTTGTTACTAATGGATGGCAGCACTATAGTCAGATAAAGAACATTTTTTCTAGGAAATCTCAGGCTCCCAATTTTCAAATAATCTGCATTGGGAGATGATTTAATCAAATTGTGAAAGGGGTAAGAAAAAAAATAATGGAATCTGCCATCATAAGGGGAGGGTAATCAACCGGTACTATATAGCGGACAATGGAGACCTGCCCTCCGATGCTTTGGGTGAAAAGAACAGCCACTGAAGTTCGGTAGCTCTACCCTTTTCGGATCCTGCAATTTCAAAGAGTCAAAATATCTACTATTGTAAGCCTGTGTTTGATATGAGGATGGGAAGGACCTCACCAACCTTCATTCATAGATTCGCTTCTTCTTCAGAAGAGTAGGAAGTATGATGACAGAGCCGATAAGAAAAAGTACAGACAGTGTTTTAAAATCATATAGATCCTTGACTGACTTGAGATCTCCTAGTGCAATACCAGCCTGAAATTACAGCAGAAGTAGGTTAATTAGTAAAATGAGGTGATCACACGAACGGGATATATGATTGAACGAACTTACAAAAGGAAAAGAAAAGCATAAACTAATGCAATTATGTCAAACTAATCACTGACAAAGCTCATTTACATAGGTAGTGTATGCATGTTCATTCTTTTAAATATTGGGTCCATGAGATAATATAAGATAAAAAAATAAACCGCAATCCAGCTCATCAGACAGCCTAAAGGTCAATAGGGGTGTTCAAAAACCGCAATTTCGGTTCAGGAAAATTCCTGAATCGAAACCGAACTGGTTTTTGGGAAAATCATTTTTTTGGTTAACCGAAAAACCGGTTAACCTTTTTAAAAAAAGCGGTTAACCGCTTTTGAACCGGTTTTCCCTTATTTTTTTTAAAATTTTGTCCTAAATTAAATTGTAAATATGAACAATACATTGGGAACTAAGAAAAAAAATTTGGGTTGAGATTTTAGATTGAGTGAATTAGGGATTTATTTTAGTTTAGGTTATTATTTATTTATTTAATATAATATAATATATATATTTGAAAAACCGGTTTAGAAAACCGGTTTTTGGTTAACCGTTTCTAATTTCTCCCGAACCGGTAACCGAACCGAAAATTCGGTTTTTTGAATTTTTCAAACCGTAACCGAACCATTTTTTCGGTTAACCGGTTTTTCGGTTCGGTTCGGTTTTGCATTTTTTTGAACACCCCTACTAAAGGACAAAATGCCACTGAACATATTTTCTTCCTAAAAATAAGGTTGAACTTGCTGCCTAAGAAACTATGATTCACCATTCTTCTAATGCCCTTTCCAAGTTAGAGGGCAGCATAAATGATGCCAAATATAATCATCAAACAAGTATGCACCCCTCTTTACCAACAAAGGTAGAAACATCTTCCTAATTCACTTGATGAAATCTGACAGCCCAAACAATGTGGCACCAAACTGAATAGATATTAACTCTTAAGATTAAGGTATACTCTAAGTCAATTCACACAAAAAGTTGACACTGAATTGATTTTGACTTTTACACAAGTTAAGCAAAGCTTGTATAAGAAAACTCCTTGACAATTTTTTTTTTCCTTTGGTGTTATGGAAACAGATATTGGTTGCAAAGCATGTTACAGGCAACTATTTCTTTAAGCCTCAAACCACCTTTAAATTTTGCAAGTGTCATGCGTCTTTCAGGATTTGACTATTAGTCTTTAACTCATTAAGTTTTTGTATAAACTCAAAAATTGCATGTTGATCTGCCTTACGTTAATGAGTTTATCACATAAAGGATCATAATGATCAATTGACATGAATCTTTTCCTACACAGCCTTCATCTCTTGTAATGTGCTAATTGGTTGTTGTTCCATTCCTCGATATCTCCTTCAATACTAGTTTACCTTACTTTTGCTAAATTTACAAACTTCATTTTAGCAAACCTCACTTTCTAATAATCATGCATATCATAAAAATCAAAGTACTCAATAATTGCATGTTTCCTTTTTACTATTCTTTCTGATATTCCTTTTTTACTATTTTTTTTTCCAGCAGGTATTAAACCTCTAAAATTGCATATTTCCACAGCATTTTCGAAATGTACTTAACTATCTTAAGGCACACAAAGTTCTCCAGTCAGAAATACTTTGACCATCCTATGCAGTCTTCCAAAAGCTTTCATATGAGAAATAGTAACTTTGCTCTTGCATAGATGGTTATTGTATAAGTTGTCAAGTCAGTAACACTATCATATCCACATAAAAAAAAAAAAAAATCCAATAATACGCAAATAGAAAAGAGGAAAAGTAGAAAGGAAAGCACATTATAAGATGACCAAGATGTAACTCTGAGACAGGTACTGAAAAACTTACTCTGACAGTGATGTAGGAGGCTGGAATAAGACCAATCAAAGTTGCAGAAAAGAAAATATGAAACGGTATGTCAACAATAGGAGATGCCAAATTGATAAAAAGGTTGGGCAACGTCGGAGTTATCCTCAAAAATAGCATGTAATTGAGCAGCTTTTCTCTACGTTTTGCTATCTGAAACCCACCATCAATGAAACTTAACTAAACAGAAATTAATTAACAAAATAAGTAGATAACATCAAGTAAACAAGAAAGTACCTCTGCCTGGAAAAATCTTAACTTTTCAGGCCACAACCAGCTAACCAGAGGCCTGCCTATCAACTTAGAAAGGAAAAAACAAGAAGAAGCTCCAACAGTAGCATTGAATACAACTAACATAAGACCTCTAACAACACCAAAAAGAGCTCCAGCCAACAATGACATAAAAATCGTTCCCGGAATCATAAACGTCTGCATAAAGATGTATGTTGAGCAGTATCCTAAAATGAACTGCACTGGGTAGTCCTCTGCATACGTTGCAAGATTATTCCTGAACCAAAACACAATCCCCTTTAATATAATGTCATAAACACTCTCATAAAAGAATGACGCTATTTGCACTCTAAAAATCTACTCTCAGCGCCAATTTTCAAAGTACACCCTTTATATAAATTTAAAAGTAAGATGTTTTACTTCATATATTCATATAGAGTAATACTACACACCCCAAGTATTATACCAAATTCCTCATCCCAAAGGATCTGTCATCCTATGTGACACTTACCACACTACTCACCCCATCAATTTGTTATTTACATGTAAGAGTCATGTATGATGACATATCACTTGAAGTAGTAACTTGGGACACTGCTTAAAAGCACTACTCTTTCATAATTACCAATAAAATCGATAAACTAATGTCTAATTGAATAGAAAATAAGATGAAAACTAAAAACTCTGTTCGAAGTTGATCAAAGATAAAAACTTTTTCAATTTCAGAAACAAGTGCACTAACAATTCAGCACAATATGTGTGCAGAATAATTTCTTGGCATAAATAGCCTCATCCCTCTTAAAATTCTCCATGAACAGACAAAACCTGGAGAAATTATTAAGAAAAAATGATCATATTTTTAAATTTTAACGATGTGTGCATTTAACAAAATGGTAGCATAGAGTATTTTTCCGGTTAAAATAGCTCCTTTGCCTCATAAAATCATCAGTTTTTTTCTTTAATTTAAACTAAACCCTTAGAGATTACAATTAAATGATGCGAAAATTAAGAATAGGGCAATAACATACTTAAGCAAGCGAAGATCAGAAACGGTGCGTGGGAGCTTGAGCTTGCCATACTCAGTAGGAGGCATTGTGAGGTAAACACAGAAGAGACCGCTCGCGAACAACAGAAATACACCGACAAATGCCGCGAATTCCCACCGCGTAAGTGGAAATCTGTCCGATTTGAAGCGCTTCGCCGTCGGCGATTCTTCTGCTTCTTTAGCTTTGCCATTTCCACCCTCCTCGTCTCTCAGTGTCCGCAAGCCGTCGCCGATCACCACGTTCACGTTCCTCGCCGCGGCCATTTCAGGATCAGTTGTTCTCGAATCAACGACTCAGGTTCATTGATAATTTCGCAGTTTTGAAAACCCTAGAAAGAGCACAGTGAGAAGAAGAAATCTAAATCGAAGACAAGAGAGAAGGAAGATATGACCAATTTTTTTTTTTTTTTGCCTTGTTTTAATATTTGTGTTTATAGTTACTTGGGTTAATTTAAATCTCCCCTAAGGTTTCTTTTAATTACTCTAAACACCCTGTGTGACGGTGTGAGTCGTGTGACTCTGTTACTCTGTTACTCTGTAGGGAGATGAAGGAAGACTTAGACTATGAGGGAGGTAAATAAAATTAATCTTTTATTCATTTTTTTAAATTTTACAATTTTTGAAGAATAACCCATCTCAATATTTTTTTCATAAATGGTTAAATTTTACATATTAAGATAGATATACTATTAAATGATAGCCTAAACTCTATGATACTTTCTATGTTTGATGACTAATAATAAATATATTTAGAGTGTTGAATGTTATGATAATAAATATAAATATAAAATTATCTCTAGATGATCTAGTGATTCAATAAAGATTATTAGGTATATTACTCGAAAGATTCTAAGTTTAAGTTTCTCATCAATTACTAATAGGAATAATCATTAGAGTTTTTAACCGATCAGTAGTTCTAAACTCTCGAGAGATTAATTGAGGTGTTCATAAACTAGTTCGAACACTCTCGATCATTATATATATGTGTGTGTGTGTGTGTGTGATCTTGAAATTGGATAGGTTTGGAATCTCCTAATCATAAACAGATCTAACAACCCACAACCAAATTAAAACACCTAAACCACATTTAATAAGCGAATTCAATAATCAAATCAACCAAATTCAACAACTATATCCATAAAGATCGATCCAAGTGAGCCTAACGCGAGGCCTAGGTTTTGTTACTCTTGAGGCCGCAAAGAGGCAAATGAGGCTGCGTCTTGCGGCCTCAATAGCCCAGCAATGTCGCAGCTCTGCGGCCTTAACCTAAATGCATACTTGGATTACGTGGTCTGTTTTAAATTGTTTTTTAAACACACAATCTTATGTTTATAATCTCCCTAATTTTAAAAAAATAAATTTGATTATTATCGGGTTTACTAATAAATTTATTGGGGCTTAGAATTTAGGTAACAGCACTTTATATGCACAAAATTTAATTGGCTTTGTGATTTATTAAAGTTCTTAAAAAAAAAAAAAAAAAATCACGTAGATATATAATTTAAAGAGATTAAAATTACAAATAGAGCATTTTAAATGAAAAAATACCCTTAAATCAGAAAACAAATTATTTTACTTTTTTTTTTTTTTTAAGAAACTTGATTTTACTTTTATTTTTAGAGTCAAACCCCTTTTTAAGTTTCTAAAATAACAAAACTTCCCTATCGTTATTGAACTATTATTATAAATTAATTAATATTTATTGAATTGTCTTTAAACCGTTTATTTTAACTTTTAAAATTTAACAATAGAGACATTTATGCTATTTTAAAAAGCTTAAGAAAATATTTGTATCCAAATAAATCTTTTGGGGTCAATATTTATTTTTATGTAATTTCTAAGTTTAATAGAAGAAGGAATAAGAAATTTATTTAAAGTTTCAAATCTGGCTCTCAAAATATTCTAGAACAACCTCGACTCTGCTCCCTAGTAATGGTAACTCTTGGCCATTCCAATCGTCAATTCAATGCCATCTCTCCTCTAATTCTTCATTTTTGGCCATCCAAAGCGTCGACTGAAGCTATAAGACACAACTTCTAGCCCAATTTTTGATAATTTTCTTTATTCACTATAAAACTCTACTTTTTTTATATATTGGGTTCATCCATTGGAACTTAAAATTTTGACTTAATTTGAGATACTAATTTATAACCATTGATAAATCATAATCCAACAATTGAAAAGGTAATGACATAACATGTAAATTAATTACTTGGAACTTCCAATTTACCAACCATTAGATTGGTTCAAATCAAAGGCTGAAAATTTAATTTACTATTTTAACTAAAAAAATTTAGTTGATAAAGCCAGACTTTATTTATTTATTATAATAGATCAACAATTAAAAATTTATGTCAAAATTTTAAGTTAAAAAAAGATATCAACCCATCTAATGGATATGAGATGGACATTGAAGCTAGTTATTTTTATTGCCACCTCATCAACTCTTAAACTATTAGAGTATAATAGATCAACAATTTAAACTTTGTGTGAATAATTCAAGTCAAATTTTTAAGTTAAAAAATCCCAACCCTTATATATATAATCTGTTTTGTCAGTTAGAAATCTAGTGAGAGAGTTGTTGTTCTTGCGTTTTTTAATTTTTTGTTTTTGTATAGAGTATGTGCTTTTAGTTGTAAGAATATTATGAGTAGGTGCATTTTCTTTTTTCCTTTTTTTTTTTTTGGTAATGAAACTCTTTTCAAATGCTTATTTCCCATTAGGTCAAAGAGGACAATATTTGTTAGGCCATCTACAACATGTTACTAGTATGATCGTCACACTTTATCAGCACTTATTGATTTTTCTCTTGATCCTTTGATGTTTTTGTGCGGACGAGTTCATTCAATCCTACGCTTGTATTGATTTGTGGAAGAACAAATTAAAATGAAGGAGCCTCCGACAATAGTAAGTTTATTAAACCTTCTATGGATTTAATTAATTAAATACATATGATCAAGAGGCCGAACGACATCCTCCCACCCAAACTTACCTTAAAAAAAGTTTGGAAATGACAATTACCCACTCTTGTTAGACTTATTTAATAAATCTGTCACTTACATGACATTATTGATATTCTTTCACCTTTGAAAGACATTTTGAATTTTTATGCCTCTTCTTTGTTTCTCTTATTGTTCATCTCCTTCTCCCTACAACCAATCACAATTTATACTCAATAATGCTATAGACACCAGGATTTTTGCACCGAAATATTGTACCGGCCTACGTGTAACATGCCTCTAATTTTCTTTAACAATTTTTTTTCTAGTGAACGCCGTCCATCAAATTTGGACGATCGTTTACTCCATGGACGCCCATCCATATTATATGGACGGGGGTCCATATACCAGGGATGGGTGTCCCCATTAATGGACGCCCGTTCATAAGTAAAATGATAATTTTTTTGATAAAAATTGGGACGATAGTTCGTCCGTTATGGACGGCCGTCCCTTCATTTTGGACGGGCGTCCGCAAATAAGGGACGCCCTTCCTTAACCAAATATGAAAATAAAAAAAATAAAAATTTAGGGACGCCGTCCCTTACGTTTGAACGGCGTCCATTAGTTTGGACAGGCATCTATTAGGGAATGGACGCCTGTCCATACTTTAAAAAAAAAAAAACACCTTCTTCGCTCTTCTTCTTCTTCGCCAAGCTAAAACCACAACAACATCTCTCACAACATGCTCATTGATCTCCATTGATATCCAGTTGATCCTTACGCTAGAATCTGGGGAGCACATAGGAGAATTTGGATTAACAACAGTCTCAAAGCATCCTCCATTAAAGTAACTACTCCACCTGACAATCCTCCACCATTGGTGCTACAAATGATGTAACTTCTTCAAGCACTTTGATAGGGATAGATATAATCACAAAACTTCCTGAAAAGCCGACTCCCTTCTTCATGGCGACCTACTTCTCTGAAGTAACTCAGCTCGGCCATAGTAACACCTCAAATCCATTTTGCAGCAATCCTAATCCTCCCACTAATTACAGCATAAACAAAACAAAAATAACCTTTAGATCATAATAACTTGGTTTGAAGGCTTCTAAGCACTTGAAAGGAGATGGCATGGCGTAAGAGTGGTATTAGCTGGGAATGTGGCAGAGCTAGCACAAGTGCTTCTCAAGAAATGCCCCAAATGGTTAAGAAAGGCAAAGGAGATTGCTCCATGTTGTTTATCGTGTTGTAGATTCGGATAAGATGATAAAGTATTCAGTTTTTATTTAACTTCAACGGCAATGTTAATGTTTAAATAAGTTTCCTTTGAAACAATATTATTGTAATAATCTTGGAAGGATATTAATGTATTTGGTGACTTTAATTTATACTAGTGCTTGGGATGAAGTTGCTACGGAAACGGACATACCGGAGGAGAGATATACAAATTCCTTTCTTGGTTATGGACCAAAGATCTCACTTTGTTATTGAACTCACTTACAGTACTCTTTGCCTGCTCCTTTGTTTGTTAAGCTTTGCTAAACTCCGAAACAGCTGAACTTTTGGTGAACCTTCTGCAGAATACTGAGATGTTAATAATTTCTGTACATGACTTTAATGGAGGATGCTTCATTTGAGACTGTTGTTAATCCAAATTCTCCTATTGCTATGGTTTTTGGCTTGGCGAAGAAGAGAAGAAGAAGAGCTAAAAGGTGTTTTTTTTTTTTTTTTATTTTAAGTTGACGCCCGTCCAAACTAAGGAATGGATCCCGTCCAAACGTAAGGGACGCCATCCAAAATTTATGGACGGCCGTCCCCAAATTTTTGTTTTTTTTTTATTTCATATTTTGGTTAGGAAGGACGTCCCTTATTTGCGGACGCCCGTCCAAAATGAGGGACGGCCGTCCTAACGGATGAACGACCGTCCCTAATTTTATAAAAAAAAATTATCCATTTTACTTATGAATAGGCATCCATTAAATGGGGACCCCGTCCCTAGTATATGGACCCCCGTCCATATAATATGACGGGCATCCATGTGGTGAACGGTCATCCAAATTTGATAGACGGCCGTTCACTAGAAAAAAATTGTTAAAGAAATTAGAGGCGTGTTACACATAGCCGGTACAATATTTCGGTACAAAAATCCCTATGTCCGTAGCATTATTTTATACTTTATCTTTTTCGACTCTTCTCTTTCTCTTATCTTTCTTTTTCTCTCTTGCCTCTTTTACACTTCCCCACCTGACCAATTGTTTTGGGTCAGATTTTCACCTCCCGCAACCAACTAGGCGATTGCCCTTTACTATTTGAATCCAAATCCATCCCAAACTAAAAATAATTCGGCCACCCAACACCAATCAACAGCACACAAACCATTATTCAATAACTACAAACAGATAACATTGTGTTAAAGGTGAAATCGATTCGGTTGGAATCGCACCTGGTTGAATGCG